CTACAAGACCGAAGACCTTAGAACACGTTCTATCTTCTCAGCCACAAAGTTAACACGCTCCGACGTCAGATTCTCGTCCTCGTTAGACCACGCACAACTCACACTCAAGCGCAGTAAGACGGACCGCCGCCATGAAGGAGTACAAATTATTCTTGCAAGGACGGGAGACGGCGCATGCCCAGTTGATGCGCTGCAGAAGCTGCTACTTCTCGACCCAAGAGGGCCCGACGCCCCCTTGTTCTCCTTCCACAGAAGACCATTCAGTCGCAACAACTTCCTCTCAACCTTGTCCACTAAGCTACGATCACTCGGGATACAGACAGACGGCTACTCGGGTCACAGCTTTCGGAAGGGCGCTGCTCAGCATGCGCACGATAGTGGGATACTCGACGACCAGATCCAGATGTTAGGTAGATGGACTTCGGAGGCGTTCAGGGTGTATTTTACGACGAACGCATCAGTCCTGTACAAGCTTAATCACCAGTTCCAGATAGGCTCGCCAGCTCCGCTATCTCTGCTGATTCCACCACCGTCCCCTCCACCATCCTAGTTTGGCCCGGGTCATTTGGGCCTTATCTGACGCTACGGTCTACGACCGCAGCGAAAGGTGACCCGTTATGGCCAAACTATACTCTTCTTGCTCCTCTTGACTGCGTGAGGTCACCAATAAAGGGAGTGGTTTTATTGGGGTTGCCTCACAATGTAGCCTCACGTGATATCTACACCGACATTACGGAGGGCTCCTCTTCCTCCTACAACTGCCTCGAGAGTCAGTTGCTGGCCTCTGCCGGTAGCTCGTCATCTCTCACGCAGTCAAGTCTTGATTTTGTCCCTCCCGCCTTCCCTCTGTATATAGAATCCACTACAATACAGACACATTGCCTCCCTTAGGGGAGTGCGGACGGGCCTTATCTGACGCTACGGTCTACGACCGCAGCGAAAGGTGACCCGTTATGGCCAAACTATACTCTTCTTGCTCCTCTTGACTGCGTGAGGTCACCAATAAAACAGAAGATAATGTCGCGATTTCAAAAACGAGATATGTCCGGCGGGAGTTACATCAGGGGAATGTCGAGGCCTGGCTAGGACACCAATTCCAACCAAACATCTCTATCCGAGACCGCAAATTTCCGCTATCTTACCGAATCGACCCCATGACTACGGATTGGTTAGAAACTACGGTCTCAAATTGACCATCACTGTATGTATTCTGTCCGTTCAGGGCCTTTCTGTTTGTCTCGTATGTTACCATCATCCATAACTAGTCCGCGATCGTATTGATGTCAGTCCCTTCTGAAGGTTGTTTATTTCCATTTTTAGACCCTTCGGACCACCTTCGGATTTTCATCCGTCAAGGGAGGCATTTTCTGTTGCGGGGGACACCTCGTCGTTCGTGGGACTTTGGGTTTCTTCTCAAAGACCTGCTTCTTGCATGTATCAGATTTGGTTCAAATATGACGAGGAAGAGTATGCAACGTACCTCTTCCGCCTGCTCAGCCTGCGATGCGAATTAGCAACTGGGTAGCCGTAGACGCTGGTGATGGGGCTGAGAAGACAAGGCCACATACCGACGGACACTGGATTTTGCATGCCCGTGCGGACTAGATTGCATGATCTCCGGCGTGGTATCAACGGGAAGAGGCCCGAATCGAACCCTTCGTAGCGGTCTCTCCTCAGGTCTGTTTCTGCGTGATGATGCACGGCAATGGTTCGACAGTATCGAGCCACGTATCTTTCCAGATGAGACCGTGGGGTCTGGAGAGTCAAAGTTACTATCTGACGTCCCAGCTTCTTTTTGCAAATCCGCTATTATAGCGTGGACGCGATCCATCGCAGATGGTCGGCCTTGTGGCGCCATTTTTGAGTAGAGCGATAGCAACCTGGATGAGAGACTGATACTGTAGGAAAATTTCGTGTACAACCTGGAATTCACAAATAATGGGTGTTTGAAGGAAGAACTGAGGGAGAAGTTTCGGGCCTTCGGAATACTACAGTAGGCTTTATGCATTTAGCTGACACCTGCTGAGAGCCGCTCTTTGACAAATGTGGCAAACCATCAGGGGGTGGGTCAAGTGGAGATAAGTGCTCAAGGTTGGTTTGCCCGCCGCCCCTATTAGTTACCAATGTTGCCGAAACCACTGAAGTCCATAATTATCGAAGCCCGTGCTCAATCATCCTCAACAGACCGTTGAACAATAAGGATTGCGCTTGAGCATACGTACTGTAGAAAGATAGAACCCCGTCAGGTTCTACTTGAGCGGCCACATCGGGGACTTGCGGGCGCATTGGGATTGGACATTTCCCCTCTTCGCTAATGCCATGGGTCGATACGAAGTCTTCTGTCTTTCACACAACTAGATACTGGGCAGGAATTTGAATATAAGCCCTTCATGCACTGCAATAGTTGACCATCACCGTTCAACGGTGAGACCCACTGTTGTTCATATCAGTTCTCTGGGTATATGATCCATGGTACACCAGCCGACCTACAAATATCAATCCACATAGGATTGCTGTCACGGTGCTCAAAGATAAGTCACGCGCGTTTCCCTATAGGACGGCAGCCCCCAGTTTGTCAATTAAGTAGAGTGAGTAAAAATTTGCCTTGCAAGCCCAAATCTCTGCTATTCATTTATTTTTTATTCAGTATCTCCCAGGGTGTTCGCGCCGCCCGCATCATCCTATTTGGGACACGTGTGCATTCTCATTTTGACCCAGGAGTCCTCAGTGGTCCAGATGCATTCATCGTCATTAAATGCCATTCGGTATGTTGTTAATTGTTGCTAATAGTACAGTGCTAGAGCCAGTGAAGAGGTGAAGAATTGGACAATTGTTCAGGGGTATACTGTATTGTCGGTGATTTTTTCGGTCCAGTCGGCCTTCGGTTCTCCTTTTAACATGACAACTTCGATGGAGACAGGGTACAGAATGTTTGTCTCATTTCCAAATCAGTTGTTCGCATGTGTTGTACTGTAGATTAGTGCAGTCGGTATGCTGACGAATTGAAAAATTCCGTTTCTTGGTCGGAATGGTGTATGGCTTTGCTGTTACTATGGGCTAGTCGAAACGTAGGGATCTTGGTAATACGATTTACCATTCTGAATGAAACTGAGTGAATGAGATAGGTACAGGTAAGAGTGGTTGTCTGCAAACGTTCTCAGGCGTTAAGCTGGCAAGGAATCCTTGTCAAAGTAAAACGCTTGAACCAGGGGCCAAGGATTTTGTGCGGTTGTTCTGCGGATCAGTTAAAGACCCATGGAAATGTATTTTCGTGCTACGTAGTCTTTTATGAAGGATGGCTGAAAACACTCACCGCAGAAAATTAGAAAGTTTCATCAAGGGTGGGGTGCATCTTGGCGAAGACGGCGAACCACGGGTGCAGTCCAGGGGTGATCCGGTCCGTTGATTTTCTTCAACACTATTTCAACGTCTGTTTAAACATTTCAACGTTGATATGGTACTTAAACACACAAGAGGAATAGCGACTATTAGAGGTCATCTGCACAAGGGATGGCTTATGTAGAAACGTAGCCGAGTTGACCGGAAACCACCCGATTTTCGTTCCAAAAATATCACTCACGCTCTAATGTAGTGATCACTCAGGTGGAATTGAGGAGAGACCCTCCAATTGGGAGCGGTGGTGGCAGAACTATCACAGTTTGAGGTCTGCGTTACCACCATCCTTCCTTGTAGATCATAACTTCTGCCTGGATTAAGGCGTGCTCAGTCGGGTAAATCCTGACGTTCGCCGTCTTCACAACGATCCTTTTTAAATGCAATGGTGTTTGCATTTCTGACAAGGCGAGGATTTGCTATGGATCGCGCAAAGCGAGTACATGGTGCGAAAACCCCAGCAACTTCTTATACATCAAAATCGGGAAGTCATTGGCAACACTGCCATACGGCCTGTCGATTGATCGCCTGAGTACGACTAACTTCATGTGATGTTGTAAGGAACTTTCTGCTCCAGATAGCAACGACCATGACAAGCAGTCCAGCTAGACCATTCAGTGGCATGAGGCTGATTTTCGGAGCCGACGCCAAAACAAGTATAACCCGAGGTCGATGTCGTGGCACCACGATGTTCACGCGAGCCAAAGCTATCAATCAATATGTTACTATCCTGATCGTTTGGTGGAGGCACCCCAGAAGAAATGCAGATCAACACTTCCAGTTCGTAGCGCTTCCTCTCGGGCCGTCAAATAGACTCATCTGATAGGTCACACCATTGAGATTATGAACCGATAGCGCTCCATGGTGTAGCTTTCCAGCTCGACCAAATACTAGTCGGCATTCAATATAGAGAAGGGGGTGCAAAAGTAGTGGAGTCTCCCAGCGATGAGACAATGAAAGTCCCCTGTTCGATTTTGAGGAAACATTGGGAATGATGGGCACGAGCGGTTCTGTGACGTAAACTGTCCTCGGGATTGGTTCACCTGAGTCGTGGGGCAGATGGCTGAAGCATCATATCAGACATCTTCTCTATTAGACTTCAATCGATGTAGTCGAAGTGAGAATATCTCGGAAGTCCAACTCCGCTCAATGGGAATAAGAGCATATCACCACTCAGCATGTGAAGACGCGGAGACGGCCCCAGTAATGGAGGTACAGGCACCACGAATAGCTCTCGGAATAAAATATTAAATTGTCAACTCGCGCAGTCAGTGTCACCGCACCATATACGGGCACCAAGTACGGGGCGCAATGTCGGTCAGCTCGTCTGGCTAGTAGCATTGACTTTTTTCCACGGGCTGGTTCTTCTTTGCCGAGTGTGACACAAGACTATCGAGATATGGACCGCTGTCAGACAGTATCAGAGGGAGACTGGACATGAGAAGAACTCACCAGCGATAATACCGGATCCTACATATGCAATGTTAACATGAAATGTGCTCGGGCTTACATATATTATCAACTTTTGCTAACTGGGTTCATGCCATACCTTCCTGTCAGATCCTCAACTGTTAAACGGCGCAGAGTGAACGCGCTTTCCACATAGTCTACCGAGAGAGGGTTTTCACCTTCTCATACGATCCAGGAGATACTCGATCAGACGGCACTCCATAGAAAGCTCGATCTTCGTTCAACGCAATCATTGCATAATATGTCGATGCGTGAGACAGACCCGTGAAGAGGCAAATTCGGCGTGTCTGACGAGCGAACTGCTGGCGGCAGCCACAGGGCACCAGCTCGTTGGGACGCGCTACAATCCAGGGTCAGCGGTGGTTCGTTAGCTGGTTGGTGGCAACTTGCCTGTTCTATCGTGGAGAAGCGCCATCTCAGCACTTGAACAATTCCCATCATGCAGTACCACATGGTAGTCCGGGCCGCTGGGACCGAGTGTGCGAAAAGATTCCGTCTCATTATCTTCCCAGCTTACCAGAATGCCCCGGGGGTATGGCTTCAGTTTGATGCTGTGCGGCAGGTATCGCAGTCGCCGCCCAATCTGCCGCATGAATTTCATTTCTGCGGGTCGAGCTATCGGATGTGCCTTGAACATGGATGCGATCGATTGAACCAAAAGTTCTTCCACCACATGGCAACAAAAAAACGGGGCGTTGGTATCGGCAAGGTTGGTTGGAGACCAAGGCCGGCAAAATGACCGGTGGTGCATACAAGCAAAGTCCAACCATCGCCAATGTATCTTGAGCGTACCCTGTCCCTTGTCAAAGTGTACGTCGACTTTGCCGGTCGAGCCTTGGACGTAGACTACCTGAATATGGTCGGTGAACCTCAGCAGAGCGAAGCAGGCTCGCAGCGATCGATCCACGGCTCTCGCAAATGTGGTCTCTGGAAAGCTGCAGGGCTTTGCCTCCTTGAACCGGTGCTGCTGCTGCTCCTCCTCGACGGTCCAGATGGGGCAGTGGGTACGCAGCATCTGCCACAGCGAGTCGGGCAGGCGCGTTAGGCGCTTGCCAAGGCTATCACGGATGGTGTTCGTGCTCTGTCTGCATCAGCTATCAAAATCTGACACGGTGTGAACCGCAAGAAGATAACTGGTCATTGCTTCTCTCGCTGTAAAAGAAGTCTTTGTCCGCTGACTCGCCCAGCAGGTGTTGCCAGATCTGGCGCCGCGCCGATGGCTCTAAACGGGGGCCTATCATTTCAGCCTCCGCGGAATGCGCATGCTTCCGCAATAGGTCGACAAGTAGAGGCAAGACGGTGTCTTTCTGCTTGCCTAGAGCTTCTTCCCATATCTGTTGCACTTGACGAGCCGCAGCCCGCCAGGATTTCGGTCGGTGACGATCGCGGCAGGTGGCCAAAGAGGCAAAATTGTACGCGAAGAGGAATCTGCCGCCCACACGGAAATTGGTCAAGGTGATCCCATTGTGATAGAGCTGACCTCGCAGGTGGGGATCAAGAATCAAGTCGCCATGTGCGGTGGTGATGAGACTGGAAGGATAGCTGAGGCCGCGAATGTCGATCGTCGCCAAGCGGAGCCATTCCAAAAACGCGTCTGGCCCCACCGGTCGGCTGGACTGGGCCCGCGTCGCGCCGATCACCACTGCCACATCTCTTCCCGCTCGGTAACGTAAACTTGCCATGTCCAGGGCGGGGTCGGTCCACTCGGTGGAGTTGGTTTTCTGAGAGGGTGCGACCGTACAAGATATTGAAGCAGTGTCTGCGTGCATGTCAAACCTCCAGTTGCAACCACTCGCGGCGATACTTACGGTATAGCGATCTCTCGAGAGGATCAGGGCCGCCAGCTTGAGACCGTCGCCGTGACGTCCAATCGGATGCTCATGGGCAGCGTGCGCATCTTTGGTTGAGAATCCCATGGTCAAAGCATCGATAGGTAGTTGCATGCATGCATTTACGATCGTGATGCAGCCGGTCTTTTTGTCGTACCGAATGAAACCCAACGCGCGTCGATTTTCATGCTCCCATGGCTTGTCGGCAAGGTGTGGTTCGGGAACAATGATTGAGAGAAGATCGCCGTGGTCTTCCAAGAATGGTAGGAAGCTCTGGCGGTCCACATTGAATCTTTCGATGATGGCATCCTTCCTGTATTCATTAGCGTTTGTGCCGCGGAAGAGACTGGTACGTACCAATTCTGATACACTTCCCGAAAAGCATCCACTGGCGTCCAGTCTTTGACGTAGCCGGGGGAGAGGCCGAGAGGTACCACACGTCGGGCGGCTCGGTATGTAAGAAGAGTGGCTTTCTGACTCTGGAGCAGCTCGCGTTGAAGCTGCTCGTTTGCCTGAGCCATCAGACCATCATCTTCGCTCGTGTCAGTGTCATGATCGGTTGCCATACTTTGAATATGCAGTAGGGAAATCGAGACGAGAGTTGGTTTTTGGAAAAGAAGTGATTGTAGAAGGGTAACCCTATTTATAAATTGGCTTTCACATTGACCACGAAGCCTGTTACAAATGTTGAGCAAGGATAGTTCCTCTATCATATGCGAACAGTCTTATGATGCGGAGCAAGTACCTCACTTCCTTGAGTTTTGCATGTAGTTGCCAAAAGAACGTTTCACCACTTAATGTTATGGAGTTTCCACTCACCGCTGACGGCGTGACTCTTGTTTTGCAGGGGATGCACTAGGGCGTTTGTCCACTGCTTTTCTTTGTGTCCGCACAATATCGAGTCAACAGGCGTTCAAAAATCGCTCAGTCTGTACCGTTGAACTTTGTAAGAAAGGAGGTTGTTGACTCCATATCGAATGACCTATACACTGTACACGAAAGGTCATGTAAAAAATTAGGCGTATTGTAGAATTGCATTATCAGCAATGGCTCAGAACCATATGCTTCGAAGGCTAGAGTATATCGTGGCAAGTAGTAAGCCGATTGACCTAGGCACGTAGAATAGAGGCCAGGATTCGGCATGCATCTTTCTACTGTAGGGGTCTCATTGATCCTAGAAAAACTGGTCCTTCGATCAGTGCTGTCAAATACGTGGGTAGCTCAATCACAAATAAGACTCGCAAATGATCTCCAGCCTTCTACAAGCTTGGCTCAGAAACGGGAAACAAGTTGAGAACCTATCACTACCACCCATTCCCCAACAGGTGAATTTAGTTTTCGTTAGCTGAAGAGTTCGCGACCATGATGCTGCAAAGCAAGTCCTTACGTGCGACAACTCTTCTAAAAAAGGTACCCTACTTCAACAATAATGAATAACCAAAAATACAATTCTCAGTGACAATGGGTCTTTTCATTGGTCTACTAGAGAGGCCATTTGTTATCTGTCAAGTTCTGTACGAACACATCGGGATTCAAGAATGTTGCCGTGGGAGGTGTTGTATGCACAGGGCATGCTGGGTCTGGGAAATGGGTGGGCAGCTCCGTGCGCGGTCGTAAAGACAATCGAAAGAGGCTTTGCTGTTTAACTGTTGGCCCAGAGATGATATCCACAATTTGTCTGCGCACGCAGTAGAGATCGTCCCTGCCATATGTGGTCGAAGACAGATGGAAGCGATACTCCTCAATTGTCTGATCCGTCATCTGATCGAGTTCGATGAGGCATATCTCCACCCAATGTAATAGTCTGGCTGGGATGAATGCTGACATGTAGACCAATATGTCTTCAAACTCAGTTTCAGCGGAAAGGAGATCTGGTCCAGGCCAAAGGAACCCTGCTTGAGGATTCTCGGGGTCGAGAAAAAGGATACACTCCATTGGAGGTGGTAGTGAACTACTAGAATCAATGGATTGGCCTTTGAGAAGTGAATCTAGCGGGCGATTATTATATTCCGTGGCCAGAAGGGGTGGCGTTGCTGGGATGTCGGATGAGGTGGACCAAAACTCGTGAAGGTCAATATCATCTGGCTTGGAATGAGCTTTATATATAAGGCAGTGGTATACTGGGCATACCAGGATAGTCGATCTTCATTTTCTGTTGTGGTGGTATTTCGACAACCAAGGGATGATCTGCCTAGACATTAACGAGGCGTAGTGTAGGCGCGTGGAGGCTGGAAAAGCCTTGATAGAATTCAAAGCCTAGATCAGACCCCCAGGGATGATATATTGTGAATTTTGGTACAATATAAGTGCTTTTGCCTTGAGCCGAGTAGTCGTTTCTTTATTGCTCTTGACGTCAGGCTACCTAGACTGATATGTAATGTTTTGTTATCTGGGTTGTTTTCATTACCCAACAATTCACTGTTTACTAGCATGGTGATCATTGAGAGTGAAAATAAATAAAGTATACGGTAAAGTTGAAAATTTCAGTGTCAGAACGTCCAAGCATAGAAATGCCTGTTGAAACGTTTGATATCAACATCAACATCAACATCGACATCTCCAACACACGGTTATGAGTTCAGTAAAGTTGGCCACAACACCCAGGTTTCTCATATCTTTACATGCGCCAGTTGAACTACTTCACGTCAGAGACAGTAATAATCTCCATTCTACCAGGTAGACTATCCTCTTATAAACAGTATATGTCCAGTCCTCAGTCCATGATGACACTCTATTTTTCTGTGGAAACTTCTCCCACCATTCTGTCTCCAGCCAATAATAAGCGCTGTCATCAATACAAATTATTTCAAAGCTGTCGTGGTTTCCGCCACTACAGGCGATTTATCACTTGTTGAAATACGGTTTTAGAGTTTGCGGCTAATCGCAAAACGCTTCACTTGCTGCCGTTGCGTGCGTGATCATCAAGCGGTCGGCCCTAGAACCCAAACTTGGGAATTCGCCATACGTTGGAAGTTTTAATGGTGCATCACGGCCGAATTGTCGTAGAGATATGCAACAAGCCGAGTGAAGAACGTGCATTGGGAGTAGGAGAGTTGGTTGGGAGGACATTCCAGATCGCTTGTCGGAGGACTAGATTGAAGGAGCATATGCTTTGAAACCAGTCATTTCCGTCCTGTTCATGTTAGTAGCTTTCAATGAAGTAAAGTACGATCTTTGATTTGACCCTATGAGATTCAGACCCAAACTCGCACAGGTATCCAAGCCAAAGGTAAACAATCGTTAAATTAATGGTGGTTACGATATGGTGAGTAGGCGGTGATAAACACGCAACCAACAAATACACAAGTAAACAGTTGAGCGCCCTGTTGCTTACTGAATTCCCTATTTCATTATTGTACCTACTTGGCCGGCGATGGCTAATCGCTGTTTTGCAACGGACCAAATGATCAACTGGGCTTGCAAATAGTGAATGTAATTCACCATACCCTTTGTCGTCAAAAGTTAGATTGGGCCTTTTATCTATAAATTCAGAGTATCCCCTTTGCTGACCCACCGTATTTTGAGAATTCCCACTTCAGCCTGAAGTTGCGGCTCATACCTGTCGGGAGAAAACCCTCGTGTGAAAATCCTCAAACGGACTACCGGCCTAATGCCACCAGGCAAGGTACCTCAGAATATGGCTGAACACGTTGCCGAAGATACTCTACAGGTCAAGCCGGACCACGATAAAACCCAGAGTGGTGGTGGTAAGACAATCTTCTTTGGCATCTCGTCATCATACGTCCAAGACTGGGATGCGGCGGCTGCCTTCAGAGAAATATATCAGAATTGGTGAGTTGTTTGCTGCATCTGCGGAGGCAATGCTCAGGAACTAAGCGTATTCAAAAATAGGAGAGACGCCATCTTGGCACGCTTCAGCCTGAGCCGCCTCGACTTTCAGCCCGTCTATGAAGACCGGGGCGATTGTGTAGCGGTTGTTGTCCCTGATCCCACTCGTCAAGATCGCCAGGGTCGTGCTTTGGGGTTTATCAAGTACAACAAGCACGACGGTTGCGTAACAATCTCCAACAGCTGTGTGGAAATAGGGCTGAATGTGCTTGAGCTCGGATACTCGTCGAAGCGACTCGATTCTAACGCCGCCGGCTGCCATGGAGAGGGTCTCAAATTGGCAGCGCTGGTGATGGTGCGCAGTGGGTTGAATGTAGACCTCTTTGCCAGCCGAAACCACTGGCGCTTCGGCCTGTTGAGATCTCACTTTTACTGTGAAATCAAGCCGTCTGAAGACAATGGTTCCGCTGGCCGTGATCCCGCCGAGGACATGTTTCGGCTAAGCCCCATGGCAGACAGGGATGTCACTTTGGAGATTCGAGCACCCTCGGAATCGAAGAAAAACGCGCTGTCCTTGGATGATTTTCACGGCTGGCTGGCCATAACTTGTGATATTCGAGGATTGACACATCCTTCGGACATCCTGGAAACCGACGCCGGGGATCTCATCCTTGATCCCAAATTCTACGGCCGCATCTACCTCAACGGAATGCACCTCCCATGCTCAGGGTCGGAACTCCAGCAGTATCGATTTGCGTATAATTTTCTGCATGGGAAGGTGAATCGCGACCGACAGATTTTGGTCGACCGAGACGAGGAAGCCAACATGGTGCGACGAATCTGGGAAGCCGCAATCCGGAAACATCGGGTTGCTTTCCTTCCCATCTACGTTAACCTGCTGCGGAATTTTCCCAAGGCGCTGGATATTGAATCGGCGGCTCATTTTCTGGAATCTCCAACCAAGCATCTCATCTGGAAGTATCTGCTGGACGAGGCTGGCGATGACAAATTTTATTACAATGAGAACTCCAGTGCCGAGGTAAGTTCCCTTTGAAATGTACGTAGCGGGTGCCAGCTGACCAAGAACCAGAGCATCACAAGTATTCAAGAAATTCTGGAGCGACAGCCCATTAAGCTGCCAGAGTCCTTGTGGAGTCTGTTGCGCTCTGACTCGCCCATCCGGACGCCAGAGGAGGAACAAATCGAATATTTCAAAAATGCCGAGGTGTGTTCCATCCCGGAGACCAGCTAGCACGAACCGTTCACAGAGCGTTCATGGCTTGCGTCACGGTTCTTCTTCAAGGCAGAACCGCCGATGTACAGTACGTGCGTGCCAAAAACAGTGCGATCCAGGCGCTTTATAACTCTCATCGCCGGGTTTTGAAGATTGCGCATCAGTGGCTGGACTTTGCCGGGTCGCACGGACCAGTCTTTTGTCGCGAGATTCTCTCCTCAAAGCTGGGCGGACAGTCATTTTTCTGCGATCATGTCGACTTTCGCGACAACACTCTCTTTTGCGATCATGTTGTGGAAGAGCTGCTCAAGTTCTGCCTTGTTCCCTTGCTGGGTCGGTCCGCAGCTCTCAAAACCACGGAAGTGATGATCCTACGGAGAATTCGGAGGTTGCTTCGGCAAATGCCCCACACAATAACGGTGTCGAGATCGTTCCTGCCTGGGGCGTTGAAGGTAACGTGGGAAGATAACGAGACGGAGTCATTCCGCAAGAGCTCTATGCATGGTCCGCCGTATCATGTGGTCCTTCACGAAGAGAGATGTAGTGGCGCGAGAGCAGACTTGATTCATGGGGATGCAGGTATGCGTGTTGTAAATACAAAAGGAAGCTTGACTTTCTTCTTGAGGAAATACATGAGGCCATATATACAGCATGAAGTCCAAGTTGATTTCCAATCAACTTGGTTCTTCCTATACATAGAGCAGGAATTATTTCCGATGTTGCGGCTTCATTCCTGAGCAGCAAGTGCCAGGTATCACAACAGTAACGAGCTCCGGCTGCGGATATGCGGTGACTGGATGTAGCTTGGACGAAAGCGATCGAGAAGAACGCTATTGCCATATCAGAGGTTGTGGCGTCTAAGAGCCTGTAAAAGGTGACGTTGGCTTCATCTTACTTCAAAGAACAGTAAAGAGTACTTACACGAGCTGTGAAGAGTGGAAGAGGTGGGCTCTTCGGTTCGGCTCAAGTTGCGGTCGCCTCGTGAGGCTTAGTTGGTCACGAGCATTACGTCACGTGCTTTTACGAGAGTACTTCTCTCCTTCCGGTTTGACGTCTCCTCCAAGATAGTGGGAGTAGTAGTGTGTAGCCCAACAGAAACATGGTATGTTTCTTAATCCTTCCATGCGTAGTTACTCAATCACCTTGTCAAACTCCCCTTGGTCCGGGTTGGGCTCCATTGTTAACTACCCTAGCCCATATGTTGATTCAGCCATGAGCGACAACGACCCAAAAAACTGACACAAATGCTCGCAGGCCTAGATTACACACACAATTTGGTCTAGCGATTTTTTCAAACTGGCCGGTTGTTGACGTGCAAAAGGCGTAGCAAGATTCCCTGTGCGGTACCATACCGTCACTTCGACTGGGCCGTCATTTTCCTTTCAAATGCAGAATCCGCCAATGGACGCAGCCGTATCCGTCATCCTTTTGGCCCCATGGTTACATTGGTTGGGGAGATGTTGGAAACTCGATCCTCCGCAGCGAAAAACGGCCCAAACGTTTGAGATGCGGCAGGGGTGCTGTTTCAGTATGGGGGGATATAAAATTCCTCGGTCAAGACTTGTTTTCAAGCTCGGCACCGGGAGCATTGTTCGGCGTCGAAGAATTGCCTATTCGTCGAGACACTTTTGCATAATGTAAACCACAAGCGTTGCAAAGAGTTCGAGCGCCGTCTGGTCCACGACGCCATTCTGGTGTTTCCGAACGGTTGCAACTATGACAACGAGGAGCCTCGTCCTTGATTTTTAAGTCAATTGAAGACAGAACCAAAATTGGGCATGAAAACCGAGAAAAAAACAGAAAAATCGACATACTGCATGACCCCGAGTTCTTCTTTTCGGGACTTTATAGATCTTGCTCTGTTTAGAGGCCAATGAGGAGAGGCTCCGGCCAGTATCATCCGTCCTCAATGCGGCTGTTCGAGAAATCCGGTGTGCTGAGGCTAGCTCTTGATAGAACTGCAGAAGTTCATCCCTGATGTGAATTAACGCATCATACTTTCGCTGTTCCTGAGTGAGAACATTGTCTAACTCGACGATACACGGCCTTGGAGATACTCTTTCGTGTTGGTTTGATTGAGACCTTGCGGAGTGATAACGCACAAACGACAAGGCCTGTGCGCTGATTGTCTCGATCTGCTCGAAAAAATCATCATCCGTAAGCTTATGCTAATGTTCCATTTCAATGTTCAAACTTTTAGGACGAGATTCTCAGAAGGGCTGACCGGTAAAGATAGTCCCTTACCATGTTGAAAGACATAGTTAGGTCGAGAAAGATTTGGTTTTGTTTCTCAAACTGGCATGACTGTTGTGAGTCAGACTGAATTTGATCTGGAATTGTTGTCCAGTTACGCCTCCTGATGGGTATCTCATAAGACGGATCCGGAGCGTTAGCGAAAGACGTCTGTGCTGAGTTCAAAGGACCCCATGGCACTGAATTGGGTTCCGGTATAGAGAGGTCCGGTTGCTTCGAAAAGCGACGTATTTCGTTGAAAGAACAATCTTCCGAAGTTGAAGTAGAAGAAGATAACATATCGGATTGGCAAAAATGTTGGCGCGAAACTGCTGCCTTATGTAACATGGCTGGAGACGGACTTGCATTTTCTGCGCAAAAGGGCCGACCGAAAAAGCCTGGAGAGTCAAAAACGCTCCGTGAGGTAGGTTTCACCGGGTGTGTTGCCTCCGGATGCTGGATGTCGTTGATTGGAGACCTATCGCTCAAGGGGCTCTCGACTGTTGAAACTTGTAATAATGGGTGCTGCTCATTCGACGGGGCATGTGTATTTGAACAATTGCGGGAACACGAAGCAGGCGGAGCTTGATGCCTGGGCTTAGAAGACCGTACATATGGTGCTCTCGATGAAAAACGCAAAGGGTAGGACTCTCCAAACACCTGTTGAATAGATGGCAGCTGTTGTTGTGGGATTTCCTCTTGGTCCGTGCGATTGTCATCTCTCGGTGATTGTGAATGTAAAAACATATCTAGAGGCTGGACTATAACGACCAAATTTGAAAAGGAAATTGCGGCTTTGAGTTTAGGTCGTGATTCCGTAAGAAACCTCGACCTGTATTGATTGAGCGATTCCCGCCTGGCTAATATGAGAAGTATGGAAGTCTCGGCAGACCCTATTCCAGCCCCTAGAAAGGAGAAAACCTGCTTACGGAAGCACGTGACAGGGTTGCCCGATTAGCTGCATTGAATGCCAAGGAGTTGGCGAACCCGTGTTCACCATACTCTTTGGATCTCCCGATACTTATGTACTGTACTTAGTCTACGCTCGGTAATGTTACAAGGTCTTTAATGCGGCCAATATGATAAAAACGTCTATCAAGCTTCTGACATTACAAATACTCTTTGGTGGTAAACAGCCTTTGCAGTTCGAGCCCCCTGGTATCGATATGATCCATGGTATTTGCCTATCGGCTACCCTTTACTGCCAAAGGGACGGGAGGATGATGTCATTCATCCTAGTGAAAGTCTGAAAGAAGGATCAACCAGCTGATGACGTGGGTGGCAAAATTCGGCTTGGAGGGACGCAGCATCGTTTACAGTGGCACAGCAAAGTACATTACAGTAAATTTCAGCACGACCAGTTATGGCACACACTTTCAACACATTTTCATTAGGCACCAAAATCTGTTGAATGAACCCACTTTTTTGAGTTTCCCCTATGTACCGGATTTCCTATGCCACGTCGTGGCTTTCCCCTTCCGTTTTAGTGCTCAGCCCCTCGCCGCTTTTGCTCACTGAGTAGAACTGAGCACGCCTCTGAGCGCCCTGACCTGATCAGTGAGCATTATGTAAGCTCACTGATCCGCTCACTGAGCGCTCTGATCCACTCACTGAGCACTCTGATCCACTCACTGAGCACACCCTGAGCATAAGGGCACCTCAATAAAACGCAATGCGCTAGCCCCATCCACGTGAAGCTCTTTTTCTCTAGATTGGCCCCACTGTCCCATCCAAATGCATTGGCATCAAGAACCTGATGTTTCATTTTTGGTAGTCATTGCGCCTCAGTATGGTTGATCAACCTATTAAATCATCTGTGTGCTCCTGGGAACCCTTGCCTGTTGGTTTCCACTGCCCATAGAGGAGCTAGTCTAAGTGATATCACATGAACATACTGGAAGACCGCAAGTCTTACTCTGGGCATCGTTTTCTACGTTGAGCACACGTACCGGAACGCATGCTTGGTCAAACACCAATCTCCATGGGATACAATATTTCAGAAGAGATTGCTCCTGGGAACTTGTCGGATGATTGATTGGTTGATTCGTAGACTGTTCCAGGCGGAGAAGCCGCCTGGATGATCCTGGGAACGTCCGGCTTTGCGCCATTTTGTTGACGTGTGTAAATCTCCTTCACAAATTCGCTCGTAATCTATGACTAGCTAGATTCCCAGGAACTTGGAACGTAAGTAGAACTTGTGATAACGTCCTAGAGTCAAGTGGTGGTGTCAATTTCACTGAGGGGTATATATTAAAGCCTACTCTCATCAAAGTAACCGCCACCATCGCCCTCCGTTTGATCATATCACCAGGGAGCTGAACCACTTCTGTCTACTGTTCAATACCCAGTTGGTCGCGTGAATAGTCTGAAATGGCCTTATGTGACTCTATGCTCGTCCCTGAGTTAGGGACGTTCGCCAATCCCATATTGATCGAAGATGAACCTGATCTGGCAAACTCGGCTTCTAATCCCAACATGATCCAGGCTGAGGAGGATTGGCTTCGCGATGAGCCAGACAATCTTGATTCCGATGCCGACACTGAGATAATGACTACCCCGGAATTTTATGGATCTTTGACTGGTGGAAACATTGCCTATCCAGGGAAGCATGACGCAGCCATCAATTCGTCCTCTATCCAGGTGTCCAACAGACCGATAGACTCTGGGGATCTAGAGGGTCTTCAGTCAGTTGAACAGCTTCAGTTAGACCGCCAAACATTGAAAGTCACTCAGAATCTAGGTGATGATCCCTTTGGTGCTGCAGGGAGTGAGAGCGTTGCGATTGACCACAAAGGTACGCTTAATTGATGACAATTTGACCCTATTACGCTAAATCTTGAGTATCACTAGGAAGCGAGAGGAGTCCTAAGCAAGGAAAAGCTTCCAAGATAGAGGAGCTAAAAGAGGACCTAAATGTGACTGATACTCTTTTGATAACCCGCAACGGCGCTCCAGAAGAGATGTCAATAGCCAAAAATTCCTCCGGGAAAAGTCTCTCAATTAGTCCCTGTGACATAGAATCCACGACCCACAGGTTATCGCAAGAAGCAACGGATAACCTGAACCGAATCAAGTGTTTAGGCAAAGCGGCATTAACTGGGGATTCTTCCATGTCTACTGACATCGGCGATGAACTAGCCGAGATACACAATCACATGGAGCACTGTCGAAGGACTGATTGTTTACACGCTAAAGCTTTTTTTGATGGAATCCAGTCTCCCCGTGAGTGATTCCGTACTGTCCAGTACACGTGCAATGCAGACGCTGACGCATGCATTTTGCAGAAAATACATTATCAAGAAACTTGAAGAGGTCAAAACAAGCAAGAGTAGAAAACGAACAAGGCCGCGTGACCATGCGGTTTTATGCCCCGGCATCGAAAAAGGGGGCTACTTGGCCGAAAACCTTTGTTGTCAACCGAGTGATACTCCGAACAGACTTCTCATCAGGTATACCTTGCAGCCTAGAGAATTTTCAGAATGACGATACTCTCCTCGGGCGAGGTGCTGTGGTCGTACGTCTAGACGGAGAAAACCCAAGTGTATTTCTCACGTTCTCCCCTCTCGGCCCCCAAGATAATCACGGTGTTAATTTCCATGCATCTCGCAAACGGTCTGATGGAATTGTGATATTTGAATCCACCGGGGCACAACGCGAGCTGGGGGCCAAATGGCGGCACGGCTTCACAGGGCGAATCTACATTGAACTCTATAAGAACTGGCCCTTTTTAGCCTCAGATTATGAGGAACGAAAGGAGTTCTTTGGGAGTGTTGTTCTGAACTTTCATTCGGACACGGTAGACTCAAAAGTCTTCCTCACCTTCTCCGCACTGTCTTCAGCTGAGCACAGTCCACATTCACCTGCGACTGGTAACAGTTTACGTGCACCTTTGATGACTAGCGATACTATCACCCAGGAAGTCACGGAAAAAGATGGTTATTCTAAGGGAAAACCACCACTTGACTCCGCTGCGGGACGTTTGAAACGCAAACTTTCAAACGACGGTTATCAATCTGAACCCAGGCGATCGGCGAGATTGGCCCAAAACATAAGATCCAGCAACGACAATTACCCTTCTTTGCGCAAACTATAAGTCTTAGCGTTGGCAGAATACATCGTTAGAGTTATTTCGGCAATCCATCTGTCTAACAATCGGCGGGGGCCCTGGGAAGTTGTCCTCAGGCACTGTTAAATGATGAGACGTAGGTAAAGAGAAACAAAATGTGTGACTGTTTGAAGTCGCACGACGCAAAAGACTAGCCATGCATGAGACAGACCCTATACTGTACACTATTCTAGGAGTTTAAAATTTTCATAGTTGATTGCATTGATGCTTGTGTGTTGTTTCAGCTTCCAGGTTGCGGACAACCCTATCGGACCCATAAGGTTAAGGAATAGCGCCATCTCAACGTCTTGAATGCCAGGGTTAGTGCAGGAGCAATAGTACTGAATTTTCATGTTGTTCCCTAGTCTTTGGCGGAGTCAGATTTTGAAATACAGATCATATGGCTTGTGTACTTTTCGCATGTTCTTCTAGTGTGCTTTCCTTCTCTAATTAACATCGCCTTCGACATGTTCAAATTGGCAGGATTTCACCCAGCCACTGTTAATATAATAGATTGTTGTCGTTCCGGACCATAAGGTAGTTGAGATGTTTGAATTCACTTGGCCTAGTTGACTAAACTCTAGGGAGACAGGTGGTACCGCTCGTATTAGGACTAGAAAGAAATGGAAGATAATTAGAGGTACACCTGCTGTAGTCATCTTGCATGTTGGAGTTATCAATACGCACGAATGCATATGCACAAATCTGTATGGGCGAACTAGGCACGCTGTTGAGATCTGAAGCTATACTGTAATTCATCCATTCACATCACTGGTATGTTGGAACCCTGCGGTTAGCCCATATTGATGGCTCACCCGTGGATTATGTGAGTTCTATCAGGTAAATCGAGTTTCTCCACACAGCCACATTACAGTACTGCACAGCCACATTCTCGGGGCAAATTACATACTTGGTCATGTATGCAGGGAACAAGTATTGTTTAGTCACGAACTATTGGTATTGTAAGTATCAGCTGCTTAACCCGCCTTAGCCTGAGTGACTGCTTCAAATAAGCACCACCGCGAGGTGGAAAGCACATCTGCAATCTAATTACACTAATCGCCATGTAACCTGATATCATTCTATTTCTAATTTGACCAAAAGAATGGTTTCACTTCTTTTAAGGTATAAGAGTAGTAGAAGCTAATACTCTAGTAAATTAAATATGTTATTACTACGAGATGTAGAGTGACTATTTCTGACCGGAAAATGTGTAAGAGTATGGATATGATTTATTACTTAAGGGGGTCTAGCTGCTCTCCGACTCTAGGAGGTTGTTGGTATTGATATTTGTCTGCGCCCTGTTGCGTTAACATCACTGTCCGCAGATATCGTCGATGAATCATATAGTCTCGCTCGGACTTTCAAAAGGTAAGGATAGAAGAGGAGGAAGGTATAGCTATTATGCTCGTGCTCGATCGAGGTGATTATAATACTCACCACTTTTAGTCGGCAGGCAAGCAGGCAGTCACTGACCTTCCTATGTGTCGTTCGGAATTTCTTTGTAACCTCCCTTGCAACTTATACACTAAGGCTTTAGTTCAATGTTGATTATTCTCGATTATGTGCAATATAAGGCTTTGATAAGCGGCTTTCCACTAACAAGACCAATCATTGCGTTTCCGAAGTATTTCTCTAAACGATGTGATGGCTGGGGGCACGAGGATTGTGTAAGCAGGGTTGGAAGGCTATGAGATTGTCGTAGCTTACGGCAAACCAGCCTTTGAAAAGTCCGCGAATTGGACAGTCCAGGTCAATTTACTTTTAATCATGAAAAAAATGGGTTGAATATATGTCACTAAAATCTGGTAGACAGCAAGCTGGAGTGCTCAACCCCATTTCTCGCTGCCTGCGCGATTGTCGGCACTACTGGAGTGACGATTCTGGCGACTCCCGGGTTCCCGAAAATGTCGACCTGATCATTCCAATCACACACTTCGTCTGCCCATCCAGTTCTGACTACCTTCATCTTACATAGCTTATGGCTTTTGATTTTGCTTCCCTTTCTCTCCTGAATTATTTTTCCATTTTGTATGGTCCGTTTTCTTGTATAATTTCAGTGTATTAATGATTATGCACCAGTATTTGCGACTGACTACCCGTTCTGTGCTGTTCGATTCACCGCTGCACCGAGGGTGGTCAATTCGCTATGGTCAGTTTACTCATACAATTGACCAATACATCTAGTCTCCACACAAAGGGCAGCTTAATGCTCTAAATTCCAGCTTTGCATGGTTTTCTCAGCCTATCGTATAGGCGAAATTAAATTATATCAACCGTTATTTTGGAATTAACTTCGATCATCTCTCGTGGCGTTGTCCACCCGTCGGCTAATCCGACCTCGACAGTGATTTCAGTTTTGAGACCCTAAAATCTGAATGAAGTAGCATTATAACATTACATTTATTTATATATTTATTTATCATCTTTTTTTTTTTTTTGAAATTACGATATTATTTTCGAAGATTCGTGCGAAATTGATATGCGGCCGGGCGGATTGCCAATAAGTGAGTGATCTGTAGTGGCTATGGTGGGCGTTGGTGAGTGATTGAGAGTGATTAATTGAGAGTGATTAATTGAGAGTGATTAATTGAGAGTGATTAATTGAGAGTGATTAATTGAGAGTGATTAATTGAGAGTGATTAATTGAGAGTGATTAATTGAGAGTGATTAATTGAGAGTGATTAATTGAGAGTGATTAATTGAGAGTGATTAATTGAGAGTGCTTAATTGAGAGTGCTTAATTGAGAGTGCTTAATTGAAAGTAAATTAATTGAGGTAAATATCAGTTGAGAGTATCTAGCCAACGATATCATGCAAAGGTACTCACCCTTGAGGATCAAGAAGAATGCTCCACCCTTAAGCGAAATCAGGTTACGAGAAGTCATTGCCAGCCCGAGTCTCCTGCATCCTACCACCAAACACGATGTAAAGAAGGGCAGACGTACTGTATCTATCTTGACGGGAATCACTGTTAGATAGCTAGCTCTTTCCAGGCAATAGGATTTATTCAAAAAGTACGACATACAATGAAGGATGGATGCCTGAAAGTTGTAGACGACGGGATTAGCGGGTGTCGCATGTCTTGGCATGGGCCATTCTACTTCCGTAGTACGGCGATTATGCATGAAGGAATTTGTGTGCTTTTGTAGACTGAACTGCTTCAATTTAACATCATGGCCATCCACTTATTTATGCAGGTAGACTGTCAATCCACTTTTTGACAATGCTTGAACAATTATTGTGTGACATTTGTTAAACTACCGCTGAAACTAACCGTGCAGCTTCATCCCTTGCTATCACGCGAGATGCCCACATAAAAGGAGGGAGCTACACCCAATGGGAAGGAGAACGGAGAGAGTCAAGGAACGGTGGCCATCTTCACAATATTGACAACGCACTGCCGGCAAAATACATGAGACGGCTCCACGGGTCTCTGCCAAGAACCCGAGCGTACCTACTGACTCAATCGCGAACGGGACATTGCTGGTTATCAACATATGCAAAGTTCTTCCGCGTCCGCGACGACAAAAAGCTGATTGGGTCGAAATGTGATGGCTCGAAATTCACTTGGGGTTAACTTAAACTCGGGCGGATGGTTGGATTTGGGCGGACGCATGATCATGCCCCATCAAAAAACCGACCAACTTTGGTAACGATTATCTCACTAACTACGGGGATTCTAGACATGAAATTTAAGTCGTATAAAGAACTATATCTACATTACAACCAATCTGAATTTTGGCCTTTTATCTTCCCAGAATCAAACTCAAGTCTGGTCGAAAAAAGTATTCATGTCTACCCTGGACCCACTTTTTTTACCCATACAAATAAGCCCAACCCTAATCCATATCTACCAGACATGAATACCCCCCACTTGATAGAGTTCGTAGCCTCCCAGGAATGTTAGAAAGAATGGAGTGGAAAGTAATTAAATCGAATGGACCTAAACAGTAATGGCCGCGGATGTCAGAAATCTGCAAATCCACCAGTCGCATCTTAATGGTCGGGTAGTCCCGCACCCCATCAAGAGATCCACCATTTTGAAATCCTTACTACCACCTTAATTCAACACCAATTCTTCTGAAGTTGTAATCACTTGTACATAACTACCGGTTCTCTAAGTATCCAAAATCTGGAGTGCGTAGCCACCCGGGAAGGTTAAAAAGAATGGGGTGGATGGCATAAAATCGAATCGACTTAAAATCAGAATAGTGGAGCCATATAAACAAATCGAATCGACCACCATTCTATTTACCGCCATTGGATAGAGAAAGGAGGGGCAGCGCTCGTTCGAGGGGGCGTGTTGGAAGCCGGCATCACGTGATCGACCTCGCCTCCACCCCTTAACAAGCCAAGATAGCTTTACAACCAATCAATCAATGATTCCCACATTATGGCTGTTGCGCGATTACGTAATCTACACGTGAGGCGTCAATTCTCTCCCTCCCTCTCTCTCCCTCCCTCTCCCTCCCTCTCTCTCTCTCTCTGTCTCCCTGTCTCTCTGTCTCTGTCTATGCCTGTCTGTGATTCAGAATCTTCGAGAAACCTTTACAAGCGACATCAGCAACTCTTCTTACACTTGGGACGAAATGAGTCAGGCTACTCCGGTGCGGATAGTCCTTCCATATCGCGAACAACCTTTTCAAAAGCCTACAGCAATCATCAACGCTTTCTTTACATGGCGAGGTATTCAACCCCGAGAAGACTACTATACACATATATGCAGTGATCCTCGATCTTCTCGGTTATATCTCGTTCTCGATCTCCACTGCAAAACACATCCAAATGTCGATCTTAACAAGTTAGACCTCGAAGTCTTCAAAGTCTCAGGAATTGATTCATTGTGCGTTACCCTCTTCTATGACCTAACTAAGCTAACTATATTTAGTACGTTTCAGGATCTCGGAGAGGTAGCTCGCACGCAGGTTCACCAACGATCTGCTTCTCTGGATTGGGGGGAAGGCAACCACTCTAGTCAGAGGAATTAGTCGGTGTTGTACCAGCACAGGGAGGACAGGATCCCGCTGTATTCGTGTCTTGCGCATCGAGAACCAACGGGAGGTCTCTCAGAAACCCTGAGGGAGGTACGCATGGGTCATTTGCATTGCTTCTTGCGGGTGTACAAAAGATAATGTGATCTCGATTCATGTGTTTGGGAACACGGGTACAAGCTGCGTATGTCTTGCAAGCCCATTCACACATTGCGTGAGAGTGAAGGAAGTCGGTTAATATTGAATATCGCAGAGAGGACCTTCACACGAAGCGGATCGTGATGCGAGAGACGTAGTCTTGAAAGGGAAGGCGGCTCGAAGAGGAGACAATCTGTATTTATAGAATTAATGGTCTGTTCTACAGCTCTAAACACCATTCAAAAAGATAACTTACTTCGTCCTTGGTTATAATAGTTGCGGGCTAAAGGGGCAGCGCGATCGACGGAATAATTAAGAGGTTCAGCCCATGGAACACGAAGGCTTCCGCGGGTCTGTTTGATCGAATTTGTGATGGTATGATACTGCTTCTTCGATGAGGGGGCAACGGAAGTGGATATTGCCCCTACGGTAAGACTCGCGTAGTTCAGAATCTTGTGTTTCGGATGTATAGATATTTCCTGTCGAACAAAGAGCATGAATGATACTTTATAAGCAGGCAAACCAGGTTTGTGTCCGCAAGGAGCAAAGTTGCCGAGAACCAATAGTATGCCTGAGTTTACCGCTGTTGGCTGAGATTTCAATGTGGCCACGTATCCTTACGAACTGCTTGCAGGTATTGGCCAATAGCTGGGCTGCATTTGCAGGAGCCATGCAGGAGCAATCACATTAGGCGTTTGTTGATAGTTCAGCGTCTCTGAGCCGACCGAGACCGAAGCACAATCATCAGGACCTACACATAGGCGGTGTAGTGAGTCGGCCTAATTTTCTTTCCGCTGGGCCTATAAATGCGCAGCGTCTTAGCTGACTTGGCAAATATCGTACGTAGCTTGTCATTGGGTACCTTGATTTAGGTGGACTTGTGAAAGGACCAAACTTACTGCCTATTTATAGTTCCCATCATCCACAAAAGCTAACGATTCCTGACATAAAGAGGACTTTGTTGGTGGGTCTGCAAAATGGAACCCAACGAGCCACAGTCATCAGACGTCCAAACTGTCATCGTCGGTCGCTTGGGCGATTTCGCTCGTGATCTCACTGCAATGATTGAGACTGTCAAGCTTGGAAGGCTCCATATTACAAGCGATGAATACAACTCTATGGAGACAGCAAGTCTAGATCTTGCGAAAGCGGTAGACAACATTGTCGAGGAAGTGAAGGCATTGGGAAAGAGACGAAAACCCGCTGTTGTTGCAGAAGGGCAAAAACTCTTATCACGGGCAGAGTTTACTAAGTTGGAATTAATGGCCAGCCAGGAACCGAGAAGTCAGGTCCTCTTTGTCAGAAACATGCAGCTGTTCTTCAACCCGCCAGAGGAATCGAAACTGGATTCCCCTGCCGTTCAGAAACGCAAACAATTGACTCGTGAGCGCTGTGAAAGACTGAGGAGCCTTACCCCGAACAAAATGATCTTGTGGGCAGCAGCATTCGCTCCTAGTCTCTGGGACTCAAATTTACTTCAGAAGAGCACATTTGAGTTCGTCGTTGAATTCCTGGAGCCTGGGAATTCACTACAGTGGTCATTACCTTGATGCCTAGCAAAACACACTGATCCGTCAACGAGGCAGATATCTGCTCCATGCTCACCAAACGTATGCACTGGGCCGTATCCGTCTCCATTATATGTCAAGGCGGATACAGCCTCATATCACAACAATGTCAAACTTGGCTCCTCATTGGTCGACCGCACATTGGGATGAGAAGCACTGGATTCACCCCAGTAAGGCATGATCAACGAGACGGATGGAGAATAGGGGCTACAATGAATAGGTTCACGGCACTAACTAATTGCACTAACTAATTGAAGATACAGGATTGGATAGGTCAGAAAACACGTCTCTGATCAAATACATTAATACATTTACACTAAAGACCAAAATCGGTTTAGCTGTCGGCGAAAATCGATGACTGTGGCCGAAATTATCAACTTCAAAAAGTCCCCAACTTCGATGCCTTTTTTGGCTCACCCAGATATGCGGGAGAGGCTTCAATTGCAGATTTTGATCGGACTGGCTCCTTTGGCTGACAACAATTTCATGCGACCCGTATGTGGCTCTAGGCCTGTTCATGAATTTTCCCTTAGATGGAGCGTCTTGGCGAGATATTCTTGGACGTGCTGCGGCGGTACTGCATTCTCGCAGCTCTTGCACATCCAGGTGTGATGGATTATGCTTAAAATCAAAAGGTCCGTCCTAACGCGTCGGTAGCACGCCAAACGCAGGTCGAGTAATATTAGGTTCTCTTAATGGCTTCCTTTACAGGTCATTCATTACCTCTCCAGCGGGCCGCCGCTAGCGCGAACATCAGGTCTCAGTAGAGCCAGAATAGACACGAAAGTGGGCAAAGTCAAAGCAACATCCATAAATCAGGCGTACGAACCGTCCGTGTGTCTTTCCAGTAATATGTCATCAACCTGTGTTTTCGTTCTCTACCAAAGGGATTCTCACACTAAATAACTGACATGAGCTCGTTGAGTATTACTTGCCCGTTGGTCAACATGCGCACTTTTTCAGCGAGGGCTTCTCGCTCCCTCTTAGTGGAATCCGGCTCTGCAGCGATATTGAGGACCTCGGCATCCAATAGCTGAGAAATCTTGACAGGTGAGAATATATGCTCTAGTCCTCGAATAATGTGACGCTCAATCACTTGGACCGTAATGTTTGCAACAAAAACCTTCTCATAGACCTGTTTGAACATAAATGACAGACACGTTTAATTGAGCGTAGTGAGTTCATACCTTGTAAATAGCCTGAAGGCAGTCGAGTACCAGTTCTGAGCTGTGTTTGTCCATATCTGGATCCATTCTCTCGGAGTAGATCTTCATTGCCAGGTTCACATTCACACTTGGGAAAGTGTGGTCAGAACTACATCCTGGCACTTCCATATGCTGCGTTGCATCTTCCAAACACTTTTCCAACTCGACCTTCCGTCTCTCAATCTGGCGTTTCTTGATCGTGTCGGTATAATAGTGGTTGTAGTTGATTGGATAAGACCTAATCTCCTCTAAGATTTTCTCCATCTCTTTCATGGCGAGCGTGCGCCTTGCACTTATCTGATCATGAATTGTTGGCCATAAGCGAAGTTGGATGTCACGGGGGCATTGGTTCCTCAACAAGGACTCGAGAAAGGAGCGACAGAGTCCTGTAATTTGCCCGATATGTGCAAGTGCAAAAAGATGCCACTTAGACGATTGCTCCCAGAAAAGTTCAGCAATCACAAGAGGGTTAAAATTCCCTGGCAGCTCCCTTCCACGTGCTTGAGTGACAGCATCATTTACCCAGTGTATGGCTTCATCGTGGCTGACTTTTTTTGGAGGCTCAATATGGCCGAAGGGCCCAGGCTCCTCAGCCGGTTTCAGTGTTTCGCTCAAAGGCTCATCGACGTCCTGTTCATTCTCGTGTTCAGATTGGGGTTCAATCGAATCAAAGTGACTATCTTCTACCCCAGCGCTGACAATGTGGAACTTGTGGCCATTGGAGCGAATTTCATTAGAGAAAGCTGTATTTCTCAATTGGACGATTGCTCTCAAGCGCCTGATAGAGCCCGGGCTGTTTGTCGGAAGCGCCTGCTCTTTATCACATTTGAAATATTCTCCTTCGTAATAGCCGTTTACTGCTGCCTTGCAGACTTCGTGGAAATCGAGACTGAGTTGTGTCAGGAAGTTCCGGCATTCCCCAGCAGTAGTTCGCGCACTTCCTAACACGTCTAGCTCGCTCTTTGCCCGCGACAATGCGTCTTCCAGGTCTGTATGTAGCCTAGGAAGCTCCTGGCGAATATGATGAAACAGCAGCCTGCTGAGACGAACCACCAAAGCCCGGATTCCCAACCGCTCAGACCCAAGTTGGCGAAAGATGGACGCTCGGAAATAATGTTCCTCTGACGCATTTCGTTCGAGAATGGAACAAGCCATCTCCTCAAAGCTTCTGTTCTTGAGCACATGCCAGCCAAGGTCGAATATAATGTCCTCATTATTTGCCAGGTTAAAAAAGCTTAACTCGGTCTCGGAGCCTGGAGGAAGCCGATCGGGCTTGGTGATTATTCCCAATGTGCGCTCGCCCTTTGGGTCATATTGACGGACCAGATTCAAAATAGGCTGATTGGCATAGTCGTTTGCTGCAGAGATTACAGCTAAGCAGATAGTCCGAGGTGACGAAATGTAGGATTTTGTGATTTCCACAGTCAGGTCAACGTCCACCTGCGATGCATCTTTAGTCTCTGCCTGGATTATACCGGGAAGATCCACCACTGTGAGCTGCGGCCTGGCTGGTCCCTCGATCTCCACAACAAGAACGTCCATAGCGAATGCCCGTCGAGGCCCATTGAGACCTTGATTGTCCTCCAGTCCCATTGAGCTCATTGCTTTGGACATGATTTCTGGCAAGTCTAGCAGATCACAGATAGTCTCAGAAAAGCCGTCCAGAGCGGCTCGCTCCTCTGCCGGGCGTCGGCGGTCAGGTATAATCCTGATCTTCAAAGACTCCGTCGTTCCACGGCGAAGTATAATTTCAGTGGGAAACCTGGTGCAGAGATTATCTTTCCGAGGAAATGGTATCTCCGTCAATGCTTCCAGAACTGAACTTTTCCCTGCTGACTGGTCGCCACAAACGACTAGTTGTGGAAGTGAGAGCACATTGTCAAGTCCACACCTACGCAACTCAGAGACCGTGTCAAGGACCTGCCGTTGCTCCATACACTGTAGCGATTCTAGAGTAGCGGTGTTAGGCACGCCAACACCGCCCATAGCTACCATGTATTTTAGCAAAGAGTCATGGAACTACATTCATGTGTAGACTTACTCCCTCTGACTATGCTAGAGCCAGTCGAGCCTTGGATCTCAACAGCACCCATCCTTGCTATGCACTCGAAATATGATAATTCGTCACGTTTTCGGAACCTGGGCTTGAAGAGTGTGATCTACTAAGAAGAAGGGGAGAGAAGTGTCCGAGTATTGTTTAGTTATTTTGAAAGCATTTCATACAGTTTCACATATCGCAGGTTGCTCCTTCATTCTCAACAAAAGCGTAATTATAGTAGCATGAGAATTTATCCCTTTAGTAAAGGAATCTGACATTTTTGCAATTGGAATTCCCTTAATAACATTGACTAATCGATATTCCACACCTTTGCAGTTTACATACGACCTGGGATGCTGACTGTCTGCTTCCGGGCTCATTCACCCTCAGTAGGGGACAGAGCCGAACTGAGACATGATGGCGTGGCGCACTTTGGAAATAAAGCGATTAATACTCGGCTGGTTCCTGGGGAGACCATTCTATAATTTGAGACCAATTAAGCGAAATCAGAAGAATGTCAGGAAAATCCCGCTCAATGAAATGAAAGAGCTTCTCTGCCGCTGCTTTAATGCTCACTTGATATCCATTTGATATGAATCTGTGTTCATCATAAATCATGTAGAATAGATAGTCATCCAAGCCTGTGGTTCTAGGCTGAATCAAGAAGAGTTTATAAGTCCAATTGCTTCTACATATGTAGCTATATTCGAACCCAGAAATGGATATACATATATGTATATATATATTCTATCGAGAATAGTAGGGCAGTAAAATACACCCACAATAGTTTGATTCCATTTGTGTTGTGATCCTACATGTCTTCACAGCATCCGTTCATGTCTTTTTTCAACTTGGTTCATCTCATTTTTTGGATGGGGTCCCCTTGGTACACTAGCCCCATTCTTGCATATACTTCAATACTGTATTATAGGAGCTTGCTGTCCCATATATATTGTGGGGACTCAGGCGACACTTATTTGGCGGGACTTTGGTGGTTCTTGTCGAACACGGATGAGGCACAATACCGCTAGACAAGAAATGCACCAGCGGCGTCATTCTTACTCTATACGGTCATTTATTATTCCGACAGTTCTCAATTTCGTATAGTCGTTTGAGTTCTAATTGATTGGTTTGCATGTGGGATCAGGATATTCTTCATGATTCGAGCAAAACTAAGAAACACGTATAGATCGAACATGCAAGGAAGCAAGCAAGCACAGTGAATAGTTCAATTATTGTTACTACAGTACACATTCTTTTAACCCCCTAACACTCTTATATGAGTTTTCTCTCCTTCATTTTATCCTTCTTTGCTCGGTACGCAGCATCATGGCTTGTCCTGAGCACAATAGCCCAACACTTCCAGCTCCTCTTCATCTTACGCCGCCGTGATGTATGAGGTGTATCGACCACTCCGCTAGCTTTGTTACTGGTCGATTTCTGCCTCCACACTCAATTTCTGGATTTCTCTCTCGTGTCTCGACCTGCCTGTATTGATAAGGTTGCCTCGAGCTTGTTGAGATGGGGGGATAGGACTAAGAGGAGCTGTTGCATAAGCCAGAAAATGAGTAATACTAAAGATATATCTCTTGGTCTAAGATAATCCCTGAGCAGATGTGTGCTATTCACACATCCAGAATGCCACGTTACCATATAGTCTAGTGGGCATCAGGGCGAACAACCTACTATCTAGCAAGGGCTCAGCGGTATGGAAGATGGCTAAAACCTCAACAGATCTTTCCCACTTTAATATACATATATATATTGCATAATAAGTCACAATATGTGTTCTCACTGCCGCTGTCACCGTAAATGCATTGTTCACATATATTAGAAACATTACAAAAAAAAGAATCACACCCCGGTGTGCAGGCACTAAAGCGACTAACCCGCAGAACCCTCATGCGATCAGAAAATATATCTGACAAAAACAACATGGAGCCTTAATCCTGGCCGGAATGTGCGTGTATACCCAAATTGAGCATGTTATTATGAGGACGGCCTTTAAATAAAGCAACTAGATAAGCAAAGGCGATAACCATCTGCCCTTTCGCTACCAGTGGATGCAAAATTGATGCCTAGCAAAACACACTGATCCGTCAAAGAGGCAGATATCTGCTCCATGCTCACCAAACGTATGCATTGGGCCGTATCCGTCGGGACAGCTACAGGCCGGCATACTATTTTGCACATATTCACATATATTTTCTTCGATCGAAAACATTGACCATGAAGGTGAGATGTGCCAGAATTTCCGCCACCCTTACGTTTGCAAGAGCGGCATACTGTTGCGACAACGGCAGATACCGGTTCATTCGATGGATCGAGGTCAAGATAGGGCAGATGATGTTCCACGGGGTATTCGACCAGTAGTAGTGCTGAACAAAGAATACACCACGCATAGAGATGATTTTTATCCAAATCTACCATCTCGGAGGAATTCGATGTGCTTTCTTTGACGCTTGTAAATTCTGGGTATATCGCCTTGTCGGTGGGCCAGAGCGTCTCATTGTAATAGAGCAAACTCGATGCTGCGAACTGAGCTTAAGTGATTCACATTCGACCACGTCAAGGATAGCGTGCGCACCTGGTCTGTTTTGGATTGTGGCTGGTGAAATGTAGCCCCAAGGGTCGATTTGTGCCCCGGTAGATGAAGCAAAGGGAGCCTTTCCACCATTTTTCCTTCCCATTATCTCTTTTGCCAGGAAAGAAGGCAGGCTAAGGTGGTATGGGTTAAGATGGCAGTAGTTCGCCAAATATAACGTGCTAACGTTCGTGTTACACGGCATGCAAAATTCGAGAATCTGGAATTGTCACATTCTACATCGTCCGGTGGATCTTTGAGTCACGCTCCTTGCTTCAATTGTAATGCGTAGCTCAAGGTGGCTTGACCTATTTAGCCAATCGCGCAGAGTTATTGGGATGGTGGATCGCCTATTAAATTCATTGTTACGTAACTAATGTAGCAACGATAGAGTTGCTCTAATATCGCGTCTCGAACAATAGCGTTGAAATAAAAGAAGCTCCCGCATCCCAGGGAGTTTCTGCCACATAGGTGGCTTTTGTGTTTCAGAGGAAAATTCCTATTTTCATAGGCTGGGAATGAAGGAACAGTGGGCCCTCCCGGTCACGCCCTGCCGATAGATAAGAGGTCTACACCGCCGTGCAGTCAGGTAGACTGCACCAGGATCCTTGGGATATAGGACTTTCTTTACCGATATCCCCACAAATACAGCGACAATAATTACGAATATCATTAGTTCTCATAGGGCTAGATTCCGCGATGTCAAAATTCAGCGCTGCGAGATCCCGAATAATGCGAAGCTTAGCAGCCGGCATCGATCCGGACGACGCGGGCATCGATATTCTTCATGAAGGGCCCTGGAGTGCGCCGACTAGTAATCAACGAGATATATCCGATGTATATCCAGAATACATGCCAGAATCCAGAATTGATTGACGTAAGTCCGGCGGCTACCTGGTATCGGCGAGTGAGAATGGGAGAGTACAGAGTACCTACGGGGACTGCCTTTAAGCCCGTTTCTTAGCCTAACTGCAATGCCGCCGATGGACAAAAGTGCGATTGCAATTACTGCTCGGGCAATCTGGAGCGCCGCTGCCAGTGTTGTTTGTGTAGGCGAACGGGATTCATGGACCCGCGAAAAGGCTGCACTGATACAGCGAGGCAAACCTCCCCGTGGACCCTTGGAGGCGTTGCGAAGGGTGGATGAGTGCCAGACCTGGGCAAAACCATGGCAGTGTGTATTGATGTTCTTTGTTCGGACGCAGGTAGGCTACCAACGATTCGGAAAGAGTGTACAGGCCCAGCTCGATCCTGTTGGCTAAACTGCACGAGTAGGTCTCGAATCCCGAACAAGGTCCGCAGTATCGATTCACTGCGTATCAGCAGAGTGCATGGGATTGATTGTGGCTGTTAGCATTGAACGACCCATGTGGTCAAACAAGTAGCGAAGAGAATGCCTCGACATTCCATCTGAACCCGCTCCAACGCGCTTGCCTAGACTTCTGTATAGTGCTTCTAGAACAGCACTATCAGACCTCGGCGTTTGGCTGCGCGCTGGTCTGTGGACTGGCAGCGCTCGGATATGACCACCGTGGTTGGCTTCCTTTCAACGCTTATGTTGACGAACTGTCCAAGGTGATATGGGTCGGACAAAGTTTTGTAGTTCAATCTGCATTGCTAATGGGGTCGGATTCTGAAGACTGTTTCGAGTATATGAAGGATGCCAAGGACTGGCTGGGAAAAGCAGCATGTCATGTTCCAAAGGTATTGGTCATTAAGGGCTTAGACTTTTCGGAGTGGCTGTCTGCTTTGCGTAATAAGTGTATACTTGTCGGCACGAACATTCCGGTGGATTGGATGATGAGCATATCGTTTGAGAACTAGGAAAGGGCAATCTATAAATGTCATGGAAATTAAAGTCTGAGCTATGCGACGTTTGCAAGACGGTGAGGTTGGAAGCTAGTAGTAAACTTAATAATCCTACAACAGCCAGAATTTCCATGTGGTCGCCCACAGTCAGGCTTCCCCAGATGTTCCTAGACTGCGTAATCAGCTAAACCGGTTGTGGGGGGTTCTTCTTCTTCTACCGAGGATAACAATGCTTGAATATCTGATAACGCGATACAGGATAGGAATTTGGATATGCAACCTGCTAACAGATATAATTCCATAGCATGAAAAAGAATTTTTCCAGCACTTTCAAATCAAGTTGATGAAGCATAATGTGATATCACCAGCTGCAATATCAACAGTTCTGGAAATATCAACGGAATCCATCGCGGTCTCCAACCTTCCTTATATGGCAAACACTCCTCTCGAAATATCGCTTTTACATATTTTGTTGGTAGGTTGTAGAAAGCCCCCTTACCGATAATAGACTGGAAAACCACAAGCTACCTTGTGTTTTGAGGAGTCGAAATTTAGTTCAGAGTTCTTTGCCTTGTGCTCTTCATGTCGCCGCTTACGGAACCGACTGAGGTCGGAGATTGTGAACGATTTGTTGTTTTCTGGATACTGAATTACTCTACTCTGTCAACCAAGTCTGGGTTTGGATTAATGCAGCTGCCCAAAGCACGGTCTTCTCGGGAGAGACACGCATCATGTTCCACGGCATAAGGGCGACCAGTCTGATCCAATTCTAGCACAGGTATTCCAGAATCATTCACTTGTCCCGGGTTCCGGAGGCCGATATGAGAAGTCCCTTCATGAACAGTAAACACTCTCTCACTAAGGTATGTCGGATATTGATACCAACACCGATGTCTTTGAGAGCATCTTTAAGCTGGTGGGCCGTGATTTTACGACCATCGCGGGGAATTAATCCGTGATTCGCAAGGGAATAAAGGGCCGGGCAGGGAGATCGTAGATCCCCTAGTGCTGCAGGGCGATATTCGCCTTCTTCCAGTGCTTGTGATGGACTAGACATTTAATCGTATGAGATAGGTGTGCAGCCCTGGTTTCTCTTTGTTTTTGCAGCAGATGTTAAGATTACTTGCAGGTCTCGGCGAATCGCGGCCCATTGCAAAATCGCAAACATTACGTGAGATCAGCAGATACTTGTGTCCGAAAGGTCCAGCCCCATCCGTATAGCCATAACCAGCAGTGAAATCATATCTCAGATTTATATCGAGAAATTAGAAAAAGAGTACAGTACTGCTACTGTAACAAGAAAACATAAAGGTCTAGATCAATCATTTGCAACCATACTTGCACCGTAAAGTATGAATTTCGACCACGGCCGCAAACCTCATACCCTTCCTGCCTTAATCGGTTGATTCTTTATCATTATTCGGAACAAAACTCCGAACTATAGTAGCTATGGCTCCCACTTTTTCGGGGGCAAGTTATGCGTCTTTATTCTGCGCATAATGACTAATTCACATCGTTTGTGTTACTCTAGACCCTACGCAATTGCCATTGACTGCATGTGCAATAGTAAAATGGTCATGTAATCCAGATCATATTACCGGGCGGGCTTCGTCTTTCTTACTTGTTAGTTATTTAAGGTCTACGGGTAGTAGTGGCTATTACTTTGGTAACTCTTTAAGTACTACGAGATGTAGGTGACTATTTATGACCAGCGGATTGATAAAAGGTTGGATATTACTCAAGGGGCTCTAGCCACTGTCCGCATCTGGGAGGTTGGTATTGATTGATGTTTAGCCCCGCCCGTCCTGCGTCAACAGCGCGGTCCGCAAATATTGTCGATTTATTATACGGCCTTGCTCGGTTTTAAATAGTGACAAGAGCAGAGGAGACGGGCATGGATATTGTGCTTGAACTCGATCGAGGTGGTGATTCTCACTACCTTTAGTCGGCAGACATGCGGGCAGTCATTGATTGACCTCGTTACTATATCTACGCGTATAAAAGAAAGCCCATGAGATTCCTTGGAATCCTATGGTGGATCTCTGCATATCATGTGCGGAAGTTGTGCCAAAGAACTAGATGTTCTACAGGGATGTCTCTCTGTCTGTTTTCCCCCCCTCCGTTGTGCGGGTGTACTAATCATCACTCACGAGGTGAGGTATATCTTTGGCTCAGAGAACCGCAGCAAGTGATAGTAGCGACCAAAGCCCATGCTGATCAGCTGGCCGTTGTTTGCAGGCGAACAATGCCCTCAACGGCTCCTGATGGCGTGAGCCTGAACTAATTATTACTCACCCTTAGTCTGTCATTATCATAGGTTCAAGAAAATTACTTCCAGTTCTCTCATTGGCAATGATGATCATAGCGTTCAACTGTCGGCGAATCTGGTCAATCACAAGTGAGGTTTCAATAGGAATTGAGTAAAGTTATTGAGTTTTCAAGATATTATTCTTTTGTGTTTATGGTTTCTGGGAAAGTTTCTCTGTACTAGCGAGTGAAGAAATTTCCATCGTGGCTTTACTTTCGCTTTTAGTCTATGAATTCAAATTTTCTTGGCTCTCTTTTGCTACGTTTGAAATCTACTGATCCATACAGTAAACGCTATGTATAAATTGTTGGCATTTCCATGACAGCCTTCGCAATAAGAGTCGTCCAGGAGCGTTTGGTATGTATAAGTAATTAATAATCAGTTAGATAGCGCTCTCGGGTGCCACCAATTCGTCAACAGCTTTATTAGACGCGCATTCAAGTCACCATGGTCCCTTACAATTGGAATTTAAGCTATATCATCAATGATTTTTGAGAGGAATTGGAATGCAGCATCTAAAATATAATTGATCATAAATAATGCTATTTCCCGCACGTAAATAACGAATATAAATTGCCATTGCTTTTCAATTTAGCATCACCATGGCCTTTTCGCGTGAAATTCACCATCAAAGGCTTGATCAGCTATCAAATTTTCAAAAAGAGCTTCTCCCTCTTATAGCGATCCGTCGTAGGAAAGGTTTCCAAATTTCACAATTCTCACAATGTCGGTGCCAGCAACACAGAAGCACATGCTTGTTGGCACGTTCCGAACGCCGAGTTGCACGCAATTATAGAAGCAGGTGCGGATGCTCCCATCGTAGCACCCCACGTGAAGCCTGCAGCAGAATAACAGGCCATAACTATGCTTGCACAACCAGCCTGACATATTCCATAAGCGGCAGGACCTGCGGATACGTCGGAGGCGAGGAGCAAAGGGAACCAGAATTGTGCACAATGAAATCTCATCGTGATATCTGGTGAGCCTGGAGATTTATTGAAGTCTGGTTATAACTGAGAAAGATGGATAGTTGATGTTGAATATACGTGACGCGTAGACCATATGAACTTTTGACCGCAAGGTGGCCATGGAGAAACAGGGGATGCTATTGTTGGTCGAAGTGGCCTGTCAATGACGTCAACCGATATGGTCCAAAGGCCAGCCCCTCTTGATATCCGAAATCTAAATTGTTTTTAAATGCTGTAAGGCCTGGGATGAATAACCCAAATACTGCAAATTAATGCTTCTGATGGTGTACCTGTTTGCACATTTCATATTTCACACCTATAGCAAGCGGACTTATCCTAAATATGGACCCAGAGTCACGGAATCGTCAGAGTTAATTCACTCCAAATTGCACACACTTTTGCATACCCCTAACGGTCAAATCGATAAGAAGCCGAAGAAATAGATCTTCAGGTTGATCGCTGGCAGTAAATCATGCTAAATTAACCACTTCAACTTGCTACTCGCAATCTTGGGTTTGAGTTTGCCGGATTAAACACCTTTTTTTTGAGTACGACTTTGTTTAATTGGTGGATCCGCTTTGTGTTGACCAACTTTTGCTCCCAATTTTAAAACAATTTTTATTTTGGAATTTTTGGCTTCCTTGTTTTCGCGCGCCCCTTGCTTAATCTTTTGCACCTATTGTGCACTACGTCCTAGCCTTTGATCGCCATTTTGATCCCCAACCATAGGGAGCAATGCCGGAACTCGAAATTCCACATTTGCACATTGGAAATCTCCCAGCACTCCCATCGCTCCTTTCAGGGTCCCCAAGGAAACGCACTCTCACAAAATGCAGAGCGGACCGATATTGCCTCTTATGAAAGATAATATGATTATTTGATGCATCAATTCAAAGATGGCGAATTGACCAATCAATAGAGCTATTCTTGGTTTGCTTGGCAAGGAACAAATACGCAGGTCGACCTCAATGCTAATGTTAGCGTGGTAACGTAATTCACGGGCCGATCTGGCCACCCGGCCGTCCTAGCCACCCCAAAACACATACAAAATGCTGAATATTGATTCTCTATAATTCAACCACTGGAGGTTTATTTCTGTCAAAATTTTAGCATACACATTCCTCGGGGTAAATGAAGAGCATATCTTGATTTCAGACCTTTCAGACTATTAGTCATGAAGTAGGGATAACGTAATTCCCGGCCGTCCCGCGCACCCGGTCGTCCCGCGCACCCCATCTAAAATCGCGTCTTCCTACCAACCTACCTACTTCAACCACCTACCATGCCACCAATTCGCACTGAATCTAGCCGTAAATTGGCCAATCAAGAGGGCAAGATCCTACTAGCCCTTCAAGATATCAAAACTGGCCGTATTCCATCTATTCGCGCAGCGGCTAGGCTATACGACCTACCTGAAACAACACTACGTGGTCGCGCGCATGGTATCCAATCGCGCGTTGACCAGCGCCCAACTGGCCATAAATTGACTCAATTGGAAGAGGATTCGCTTACTGAATGGATACTCTCTATGGATTCGCGTGGGGCAGCGCCTAGGCCCTCTACTGTTCGAGAGATGGCTAATATCCTATTGGCTGCGCGCGAAGAAGCTTCTCTATCTACCGTTGGAAAGAATTGGCCATCAACCTTCATTAACCGCCGTCCTGAGCTTCGTACACGCTTCTCACGAAGATATGATTACCAAAGAGCCCTAAACGAAGATCCAAAATCGATTCGGCAGTGGTTTGCGACTGTACAAAGTGCGATTGACGAGAACGGTATACAACCAGACGATATCTACAACTTTGATGAGACAGGCTTTGCAATGGGCCTTATATCTTCGCAGAAAGTAGTCACACGAGCTGAATACTACGGTCGGAGATCTCTTCTATAACCAGGAAATCGCGAATGGGTTACTGCGATCGAAGCAATCTGCGCAGATGGCTATTCGCTACCGCCGTGTATTATCTTTAAAGGCAAAGTAGCTATTGCAGGATGGTTTAACGAAAACCTACCTAAAGACTGGCGAATCGAGGTCTTAAACAATGGCTGGACTACCGATGAGATTGGCCTACGCTGGTTACAAAAGCACTTTATCCCACATACGAATTCGCGTGTACGTGGGCGATTTCGACTATTGATTCTTGATGGCTATGGTAGCTATCTTACACCCTAATTCGACCGAATCTGCGCAGAAAACGATATTATACCACTTTGTATGCCTGCGCATTCATCGTATCTACTATAGCCACTAGATGTTGGGTGTTTTGCAGTGGTTAAGCGCGCGTACGGTCGGTTCGTTAGCGATCTTGCGCGTAGAGGATATAACCATATCGACAAGCACGATTTCCTAGTGGATTATCAGCACGCGCGGCTAGAAGCGTTCCAATCAACGAATCCTACTATCAAAACCAGCTTCGCAGCTAGTGGTCTAGTGCCATTAGATACCGAGAGAGTGCTTAACAAGCTTAATATCTCTCTACGAACACCAACACCACCGAGCAGCCGGCCTAGCAGCAGATCTAGCCAATTCACACCAAAAACGCCTAGAACTATCACTCAGCTATTCAAACAGGCTTCAATGCTAAAGGATCTACTAAAGCGACGGTCAAATAGCCCTCCAAGCCCATCGAAAACCATCTTAGATCAACTTATCAAGGGCCACTATCTTGCGCTTCACAATACTGCATTACTCGCAGAGGATAACGCGAATTTACGCATGGCGAATGAGAAGATAATCAAAAAGCGCAATCGGTCAACTAAGCAGATACCCTGCGAAGAGGGTTTAACGGTTGAAGAAGCTATACAGCTAGTTGAGCAGCTAAACCAGCCAGAGGAAGATGATGAGGTAGTATCGCGTGAGGAGGCCGATCTGCCTAATCAGCCGATTCAACCGGCCAGGAGGGCTCCGCCTACCTGCAGTGGATGTGGACAAATTGGCCACAGGATTACTTCATGTAAAAATCGAATTATCTAGTTAAATCAATGGGTCTTGGTTGAGATAATCGATTTTGAAGTATTCTAATGGGGGAGGGTGCGCGGGACGACCGGGTGCGCGGGACGGCCGGGAATTACGTTAGTTAGAAGTACCACGCTAACATTTTCATCGAGGTTGACCTGCCTGCGTACTGTACAGTAGTTTTCGAAATCAGTTAAACCTCCACACTCTTGCGACTTCATTGTCGGAAAATAAATTCGAAATCCGCTAAGGTATTTCGGTTTACTGCTTTATGACTTTGGCAAACCCGTAACCGTTATGGTCTTATATCAGCAGATGAGTTATTGTAGTAATACTGTGATGTTTCATAAAAACGGTTGGTAAGGCAGAATGCCACGGTAATGCCGTTCTCCATTCCTTACCTAACTCTATTGTTTGTTGTTGGCTTATTTGCTTATGTCGCTTAAATGATGGTATAAAATGCCTCTAGACCAAAAAAACCACTATAGGCATTCAATTCTATATTGGTCCGACGGTTCGTAACCGTTCGTTGTAAGCCATTTGTTGCAAGCATGCCCACCAGGCCCATCCAAAGGATGATGACCCTAGAGAATTGTGAGGGCCTCGAGTCATATATATGGTATGTTAGTTGAGCGTGTAACTCACTTCAAGATATTCAAGTTTTGGGAAACGAGAGCGGGCCTGAATCGGACCCACGCCGTTCACAATCAGCTTCCGACAAATTATAAAAAGGGCAAGTATTCTTTGGTCCTTCGCACTTGGAATACACCGGTGAGTCCCGAGTCTCTTCCACAAACTTTCACACCCGTTTATGTGCCTACAACTCCATTCACATAAACTTAGGGCTATCCTACTTACCTACATCGATTTCTCAGGTTCAATTCAGAGTATGGTTCGCTACGTCCACATCATTGGTAGACAACATGGGGTCACCTCGAGCAACATAGGTGACCAAATTGGGCGTTTAGAAGAAACCATCGGGCTCGCACTACCAGAAGGATCGAAATGGCACGGAATGTACTATCGTCAACGTCGCAAACGGGCCCACCCATCCTGGCTCCGAAAAGAACTTATTTTTACATTTGCGGGTCAGAAAGGTCTGAAGCGGTTGGATGAGATATGGTATCAAACTTGGATATTTGTGGTCAATTTGGAGATTAAAAGCGATTTTAGGGAAGGCCTCTTACGAACTCTCTTCGGACTACTAATGACCGTGGAAAGGATGGAATGCACGGATGCAACGGGGCTTGACGCAGTGACGAAGCGCATGCTTCAAATAAGGAACGGGATTCCATGGCTGGAGGATAGGAAAGGCAAAAAGGAAGACTCAAAAGGTTGCTTGTATTTCGGGAAATGGTTTGAACTTGGAAGGCATATCTGATGGAACTGTACTTCAATAAAATGTAAAAGGAGAGGGTTGGGTGGGATTAAAGGCCAGGTTATTTCTGTGTCATCTCTGTTTCATAGCTTTCTCGGGTATACAGGAAGAGTAGCAGCAGCAGCAGCAGCAATAGTAGTTGTATTCGGTTACGCTGACCCCTCGTCGAAGTTGGATCATAAACCATAGCCAGCTAGCTAGGTACGGACTCGTATTTTGACCCAGTATCAGTAGAGTAAAACAACTGCCGAAGCGACATGCAGTATACACCTATACATCTGAGTATGTACATTGAGAATGATTCACTTCCTGATACAGTCACTAGCGAAATCTGCGTCCACCCCGAGGACAGCTTTTATTTAGTCAAGGCCCACTTACCAAGGCCTCAGCGCGGATGTTTTATTGACTGGAGGATGCTTAGTTGAGGACCGCCGTAAGATACGTGTTATGTGACACCACCTCCACCAGTGTTTCACCGGTCAATATTCAGCAGTGGACCCATTCTTACAAAAGGGGATATGTGAATTTAAACCCAGCATTGTTCAATGGACCTCAAATCAATGTTGGGTAAACATCAAAAAGACCTGCGCGAAGCCGTTGGCAAATGCCTTAAACAAAGATCAGTTCTCTTTTGAGAGACAGCAGATTTCGCAAGTGACCATATCATGTATGACTTTCTACAAGGTCTTAAGTGATTCTAGAATCATCGCTAGGGTTATCATGGAGGGTGAATATCTGGATCTGGACAAAAAGCGGAAAAAGTCATGACGTCGCTTAAGGTGGCAACTTGAGCCTTCCTCCTGAGTCCGTTCGATACATATATATAGTATTAGTGATATTGTAAGTTCCGAGCGCTCCTGGCGATCCGCTTTCCCTAGCAACATCTTTCCCAAACCACTAAATAACAGGGCATCTTTTATCTTTATTCCCTTCCTTCTTTTTCAACTACATAAATGGATTGTGACAAAACTATTCCACTACTCTCGAGCCAACAGTCAGCTCAAGCGCCTCTTGTCGGAGTATTGAGGCGATTCTTGTCCGTACAGGAAATGGCTCAAATCACTAAACAATTCCTATCAGAAGACTGGATTCTGAATGGCCAAGTCCTCTGGAGTGGCATTCCTCGTGAAAAGGCCCAAGAATGGGCTGATAAGCATCGACTTCAAACGTTGACTACAGCAATGGGCCCTCTCATGGATGAAAAGCACCCGGAGTGCTTGAAATTGAAAAAGAGTCACCGACAATGGAGTAGATATGTTCATGGTGCTTCCGCTATATTTGCTTGGCGTATAGCCCAGGGTGAAAAGGTTACACTGCTTTCACCTCCACCGCCAGAGCGATTTCATCCATCAGGTCTTTCTTATTATCAACTCATCGAAGAGCCAATAATTCGGGGCTTACTTGATCAAAATTCCGTTCAAAAAATCATTATAACACATCCGATGATTAAGGAAAATGAAGACGAAGAGTTTTATTATGAGCTATGGCCAAATGACAGAAGCGAGAAATGGTTGGAACGATTCGGATCGCGACCCTTCAAGGCGAAATGGAGACAAGTCGGGCACAGCAACGAGATAACAGAATTGAGAAACTTAATGACTTCCAGTGAATGGCATGTCTTTTGGTCTGCGCAGTTTAAACAATTTGAAGAACAAAAGGTTCGTTCTTTCGAATGTTTAATTACCCCTAGCGAATATACACTTATAATAGAATAGAATAAATTACCGAGATTCACATCGATTGGTTTATCATATTTGCTTTTCGACAAAATCAGGGGGAATACGAATGGAACAGATGGGAAGCAAGGAATATTTGAAACGGCTAGGTCTACTTTGACTGTGATCTCGCCTAAAGATATCACCACTGAACAGAGGTCAGTGAGGAGGCTTGAGGATGAAATAAAGGCAAAAAGAAAAACCATCGACAAGACACATCAGGAGGCCATAAAAAAACTCAAGTATGAAGCAAAGGAAAAAAGAAAAGCCTGCGACAAGGCACAGGAGAAGGCTACAAAGAGGCTCAAGGATGAAGGGAAAGTGAAAAGAAAAGCTCTTGAGAAGGTGCATCAGGGGGCCATAAAGAACATTAAGAATAAAGCGAAAGCAAAAGCAAAAGCCCTCAAGAAGGCAGAGAAGACGGCTGCAAAGAAGCTCCTGAAGGAAGGGAAAGCAAAAAGAAAGACTGTTGAGATATCACAGCAGGAGGCAGCAAAAAGGGCCAGGGGCGAGGAGAAAACGAAACGAAAATCCATGGACAAGGCATACCAGGAGGCCTTAAAAAAACTCAAGGATGAGGAGACAGCAAAAAGAAAAGCATTTGGCAAGGCACAGCAGGAGGCTGTAAAGAGGCTCAAGGATGAAGTGAAAACAAAAAGAAAAGCCCTTGACACGGCACAGCAGGAGGCTTTAAAGAGGCTCAAGGATGAAATGGCCGCTTAAAAGTATTTACGATAATTTCTTAATACTGTCAGTATATGGATCTCCATTGAACAGACTGCACGCCATTAATTTCAGGAGCTTGAGCAACCCTGTAATAGAGGTACTAGATAAACGGTATTTTACAGTGACCCAAATTAATGATAGACGCTAGGGCCTTAGCAGTGGGCCCGAGAAAGCAAAAGTTGTCACCAGGGTAGAAGCCGTTTTCGCCATCTACTGTATCAGATGACCAGAATTGGACGCCAAACTTGGAAGCCGTGCGAGCCTCAATACGATTCGCAATCGCTACGGCCCGGCTCGACGCCGCCTAACCACGTCGACCAACACAATGACATCCTCCCTTTCACCAACCTACACCTACCACCTTGTGCCAAAGATGGTGACGCGCTTCAACTGCCGAAGATAGGATGTTGAACACTTGAAGAAGCGCCTTCAAGCCAGTCTACTAACCAACTTACTAACCCACAAGGATCCCTTTGATATTGACAGCTGAGAGGTCATATACTGCAAGGATCCATGTATGGGCTCGAAGGAGACACGGCAGATGTATATTAGGATGTGCATCGATAGATTAGTTTTAGTTGCCCTTTCGGCTCAGCCGCCGGGCGTTAAATGAATTGTGTGTGTGTGTGTATCAGCTTGGAGCCTCGTCACAGCCTCTCGTGGCCTATTGCCGCTCCCGCCGCTCGGCTGCCCTTATGGCGCACGACTACAGAACCTCCATGACATCTCGGCGAAGTCCAGTACGGCCTGGACCGTCTTCGCCCTCGAGACAATGCCTGGTTTACCTTTCTCACCTTCGTTTGAGCCTCCCAGAAGGCTCGACACGCTGCTTAGCGCGCCCCCAACTTTCCGTTTCAATTCTACCCTCAGCTCTCGGAGCTTCGGGCATTCCATCAGCACGTGGGCGACTGCCTCCTGCGCACCGCAATCAAATAGTTCATCATCGCGGAAGCCGAATTTCTCCGCGTAGGGGGATAACCAGTTGTGGCTCGTGCGTAGCTGCGTCACCATATAGGCGTGATTCCTCGGTAAATTACCGTAGAGATTTCTTGTGTAACGCGCTGATAGGTCGCCGTCAATCTTTCGTAGGTGAGTACCTTTGATGCTTTGTCTTCCACTCTTGCTCCCAATGGGCTTCTATCATTGTTGCTTTCAGTTCCCTTTGTGTGGTTTTCGGTTTTGCAATTCTCTTCTCCTTCTTGAGGCCATACCCCTTGTCTTCAAGGTATCTACCTGTTTGTACTTGACGAAAGTGGTCTGGTATGTCTGTCTATGGTTATTAGATGCTTTTGTAGAATATTGACAGTTGTGCGATAATAGTTTCTTTTCCACCGACGAGCAGCGACGAACCGTGGTCGGCACCTACCGCCCGGATGAAGCTTTACAAGTCTTTGATTTGTAATGTCGAACTATGTACCCATTAGCCTCACTGGGTTGGACTACGTATGAATTACACACGCACACACATAGTAAAAAGAAAGAAGACCCATTGGTTGTCCCTTTCCATCTTGAGGTGATCGTAGCCACGATCTGCGGTGTTCTGGTAATGGGTGCATCCTACGCGAGTGAGGAACGACGAAGGTGTCCATTTCGCCGCATTGATATGAGAAGAGCGAAGGAAAGGGAGACTAAATGTATTGATGGCGATTTTGATGAGTCTTTTGTAAGCGCTCGGTTGATGCCGTGGTGCGCCTCGCTCGGACACCCACCGCTGATCTTCTGCCCCGCTGCTGCCCCCGCTAGCATTATGCCACGTGACGACCAGACGATTCGCCATTGCGAATTGGAAGCCACTTCCTTGAGAAAATATTCCTTTCGGATGACGGTTCAGAAGACTGACAGACTTCTTTTTTGTCTAATTAGCTGCATTTTCGCACAATTATTCTACGGTCTACTTCTCGACAGGCATGAAGCAGCCTGAATATACGGCGTGGGCTGACGCCAGTCGTTCAACTGAAGAGGACCATGGCGACGAGCGCAGAGATGAACGTCTACTCTCAACTGTGTTGAAGGATCTCACTGCCGCCAATTTTCTCGCGCGACAACTGAGGCTCGTTGTTCAGAAAGTTTTCTCTGGGGTTCACGACCTCTACCACACAGGTAATCTTCCATAGTCACAGACAGGCGGCTAAACTACGTTTCGTTCTGATTCTGATACGAAAATGTTTCAGGCATTATAAATGCATGGTGGATATCACCGGTGGGCGACAGTGCGCACGGCAGCGGTGAGGCTGTTGCGTTGCAACGTCGTGTTGCACAGCTGGAGAAGATACTGCAAGCGATTACCGGGCCCGATACAGTGGATTGTCAAGTCCCTACATCGTCGATGAGCTCTCGTAGCGTATCCGTCTTTGACAATGAGGTAGGTTATGCAATTACGGATTCGTTGATAGAACAGGAGCAGAAACAGCACGTATATATGAATTTCCCTCCGGGGTGGACTTCGGGTATGGAAGATATTTATCTGGGGCTGTATGCATGTCGCGCCTCAGGCAGATGGGTATCGGAGTTGGAATTGTCGAGCTGGACTGAAATTCCTGTGGAGGAGGTACAGCAGTGTTTACAATGGTTGGTACAAGCACGGAAAGTGCACGGCGTGGGCGATGGCAGTCTGTGGAAGTGTGCCTGAGTGTGGTTTCGCCAAAGCCACCATCAACCGCGCGCCTTTCGCCACAGATATCTAACGCAAGGCACATATCCGTCCTTTATAGAGTATAAGCACATATTGCTGAGTTTCATCAAACGCCCCGGGCGCGCTGGTGAAATTGATGCGCACAATCATACGTGGTACTGCTTTGATTGTAGCTCTAGTGTCAAGGATCACCGCAGTTACGATTCTCAACGCTATGTAGACCCACCTCAGGCACAATCACGAAATTATTGTTGATTGTATCATTCCTAAGACGCCGATATGAACTTATAGACGCAACGAACGATTACAAGCATCGTTCCGCCCAAATTAATAGAGCGGTGACCTTAAACAGGATTAGCGTATATCGGATCGATTTCCCAGACAAGCCTAATGAGTTTAAGGTCAAGGGAATCCGAAAACTACCGTATAAACCCCCTGTGGTCCTATGAAGTTTCTCTGGCTACCGTGAACTTTCAGTTGGGGAATTTTCCAGTTAGAGGTTCCCCATTAACTATGCCACGCATGCATGCAGTTGTGGATTGTGCTCAGGTCACGTTACACTGGCCCCTTTGAGGATGTTTGACAAGAAGTAAGCTTCAGTCATTGACGTCAGTCGGAAACACTGCTTAGAAAATCATACTGCGCACCAGTCGGATATCAACAGGTCTGAATTGCTATAAAGCCCCTCTGGCAATATAGTTAACTATGTTGGGATAAAAATGACTAAACATGCGGATCTATAGTATATCCTTCCTCCGGGTATCCACATCCTGTTGTGTTACAAAATCACGTGTGTTGCGTTTGTGGCTATCGGCGTATCGCGTTTCCCCCCTTCTGTCATTTACCCGACTCACAACCCACACTCTCCCAAGCCAACATGGTGGCAGAACGAGAAGTAAGCTATGTCAGATCCAACAAGATCGAGGTTAATTGTCGAAAATCCTATCGGCAATGGGCTGAACGGCTTTCGGGCCGCGTTCGCCTTGATCTGCGAAGGCGCGGAGTTGTGCTCAGCTAATGAGGCTGTTGATCGGCTGAGGCGGGAGGGTGAGATCACGGGAATCTGCCATAATCTTTTCTGTTCGCTAACTTCAGGGCGTAGGTATTCAAGATCTCGCTTCTAGCCTTCTGACAGCCCTCCAGATCCTACCTGTCGCTCGCCTTCTGCCTTCCAATTCAGGCGGGATCATTCGAAGTGACCTACTTCGGCTTACATCCGCTATTGCATCAAATGATTTCGATCTTGAACGAATCAAACCGCTGCTCAAGATATGCCTCGCGGATGCACCAGCAGATGAACAGATATGGAATCTTGTGGACGTGGTCGCAGCGGAATCTACACCCCCACCTCGAGCAGTTGCCTCCTCCCTCCAACAGACACCCTCACACCTCAAGACGAGTAGCTTTGCAAACTCTTCAGAATACCGCCAAGATATCGATAGGGTTCTCAAGTTAGAGCTTGGCCCTCTATACGTAGGGCTCCCTCATTTCCAGTCAACATTTTTTGGAAGCGTCAGTGGCCTGCAGACAGGGGCCGAAGCAGTATTCCGAAGATGCACAGAGAGCAGTGATGCACTATTTGTTGATGGATGGAAAGGATGGCCAAAGAATGCGAACCAGGAAGAGGTCTTGAAATGGTTTGCAGACGTGACCGAGAAGCTGGCGACATTCTCAGCAGACTACGAACCTTTATCGATGCTGCATCCGCGAAGACCGCTAGCACAGCCCAACCAGCCCATTCAGGGCTCCACAGCCGAACGCAAGCTAGACGTTGGGTTCGTGAGCGATGCTAATGCAAAGAAGGATACCCGATGTCAATGGTCAGAGATTCTCGTGCCCGGAGAGCTAAAGAGTAATCCAGCAGCCGACACTGCTTCCAAAGCATGGCTGGACCTAGCGAGGTACGCCAGGGAAATTCTTTCGGCCCAAGATAGCCGTCGCTTTGTCCTGGGTTTTACAATATGTGGATCCTTCATGCGAATATGGGCGTTTGACCGTCTCGGAGGTATCGCATCCGAGCGCTTTGACATTAACAAGGATGGGCTTCTGTTTGTGTCCACCATTCTTGGGTTCCTGTGGATGAGCGAGGAGCAATGTGGATTCGACCCCACCATCACCACGAAGGACGGCCTCCGATTCATCGAAATTGAGAAATCCGGTCAGATCGAGCGTCTTGTCCTTGACAAATTGATGAAACGGGCTCGTTGCATCGCAGGTCGAGCAACAACATGCTGGAAAGCGTACCGCGAAGCAGACCCCGGGACTCCCCTCGTTATCAAAGACTCTTGGCAATACACAGAACGCGACGAGGAGGGCGAGCTTCTTCAAGAAGCCACTGAACGAGGTGTGGTGAACGTGGCACGGTATTATAATCATGCGACGGTACGCATTGGTGGCAAGGATGATGATGTCCGGGGCAACGTTCGAGGCGGCTTGGACATCAAAACCGCCAGTAGCTATCGCCCAAATCGGTCGGTGCTCTCGACGGGCACGAATGTACTCGATGCCCCGCGAAAGAGCCGGAGCAGCGGCCGATCTGGCCTGAAGCGCTCTTCCAGTCAGACTGGAGCTTCTTTGCCTCCCGACAAGCGATCGTGCTCGGCATCTCCTACCAAGCCCTCTAATATCCCACTACCAAATCGAATCCATCGACGGATCGTTCTGCGAGACTATGGCAAACCAATTTACGAGGCAAGCACTCGCTCGGTCTTGCTTGCCGCATTCGAGGGTTGCATTGCTGGACATCAATCTTTGAAAAAGGAAGGGATTCTTCACCGAGATATTTCGGTAAATAATCTGATGATTAATGAGGACAAAGAGAATCCCTCGTGGCCGTCATTCTTGATTGATCTTGACCTAGCCATCAAAGAGCAACGGGCGGGTGTTTCTGGAGCGGATGGAAAGACAGGCACAAGAGCGTTTATGGCAATTGGCGCGCTTATGGGCGAGAAGCATTCGTTCATGCATGATCTTGAATCATTCTTCTGGGTGATCTTTTGGATTTGCATTCACTACGAGGGGCCGGGAATTGGAAGGGTTGTGGCACGATTTGACAATTGGAACTTTGCAGATACGGAGGAGCTAGCTGATTCGAAGAAAGGAGCAATATCTGATGAAGCGGATTTCCTGAGGTCCACGAATGAGCACTTCACAGAGTATTACCAACCACTTATACCGTGCGTCAACACGCTTCGGAAGGCGGTCTTTCCGAATGGAAGGCGGTGGGCGAAAGAAGATACAGGGTTGTATGATCGGATGAAAGACATCCTGCGGGCCGCCCGGGAGGACTGCGAGAAGAGCTAATTCACAAAGCCTAGTTCTGTCGCAGAGGCTTGGTCTCTTTAGTCACTATCTTTAATCACTCTCCTTTAATCACTCTCCTTTAATCACTCTCCTTTAATCACTCTCCTTTAATCACTCTCCTTTAATCACTCTCCTTTAATCACTCTCCTTTAATCACTCTCCTTTAATCACTCTCCTTTAATCACTCTCCTTTAATCACTCTCCTTTAATCACTCTCCTTTAATCACTCTCCTTTAATCACTCTCCTTTAATCACTCTCCTTTAATCACTCTCCTTTAATCACTCTCCTTTAATCACTCTCCTTTAATCACTCTCCTTTAATCACTCTCCTTTAATCACTCTCCTTTAATCACTCTCCTTTAATCACTCTCCTTTAATCACTCTCCTTTAATCACTCTCCTTTAATCACTCTCCTTTAATCACTCTCCTTTAATCACTCTCCTTTAATCACTCTCCTTTAATCACTCTCCTTTAATCACTCTCCTTTAATCACTCTCCTTTAATCACTCTCCTTTAATCACTCTCCTTTAATCACTCTCCTTTAATCACTCTCCTTTAATCACTCTCCTTTAATCACTCTCCTTTAATCACTCTCCTTTAATCACTCTCCTTTAATCACTCTCCTTTAATCACTCTCCTTTAATCACTCTCCTTTAATCACTCTCCTTTAATCACTCTCCTTTAATCACTCTCCTTTAATCACTCTCCTTTAATCACTCTCCTTTAATCACTCTCCTTTAATCACTCTCCTTTAATCACTCTCCTTTAATCACTCTCCTTTAATCACTCTCCTTTAATCACTCTCCTTTAATCACTCTCCTTTAATCACTCTCCTTTAATCACTCTCCTTTAATCACTCTCCTTTAATCACTCTCCTTTAATCACTCTCCTTTAATCACTCTCCTTTAATCACTCTCCTTTAATCACTCTCCTTTAATCACTCTCCTTTAATCACTCTCCTTTAATCACTCTCCTTTAATCACTCTCCTTTAATCACTCTCCTTTAATCACTCTCCTTTAATCACTCTCCTTTAATCACTCTCCTTTAATCACTCTCCTTTAATCATCTCTTCTAACCACTACACTACAAATTACTCCTACTACGCTCTTTATATTACCTATCTAGATCACCGGCAGATCGACGGGGAGCAAACCTCATCACTACAATTTGCAAACTTGTTTTTGGCTCGATCCGAATAGTTGGATCCACCGAGCGCTCAACCGTCAAACGCAATAACCAGAACATGGGTAGGAAGTGAGCCTCAGATTCGATTGCTGCCGATAAATCAGGCCAGATTTGGTAATTTTGCCCACCTCACGACAATTCGAGTTCGGAATTAAAGCACATAGGCTATGCTGAAAATGCTGCGTTTAGCAGGCCTTTACCATTTACAAACAACCAAAACTCAACAAAATGCCAAATTATGAGCAAAGACACACTGAGGTCTGAGGTTGGAGGATGAAATGTGCTTTTGGTCAAGTAAGAGTGACTGATTAGATAGATTGGAATAACTTATACATGAAATTTGGGTGTCCATGTGTATAGGCAAGGCATGTTTGAGACGCTTGATTAACATGTGCGACGGGATAGGGCAGGAAAAAGAGGTAAGCAAGCAATGCCAATCATTGTATGTAATTCCGAAGTAGGCAATTTCTAAAATTGTGGGGACATATCGGTGACTTACTGTTGGCAACTGATGAATAACATCCCTTGCTTAGGGCGCGCATTCTTGCGTGCGGTTCGGTATTGTGACCGCCGAGGGCCGGTGTGTGGGTGGAATCCAGGAGTGTTTTCCAACCAGACTAAGAATAGACATCTATCTACATGAATCAATTGACTTCTGCTTTTCAAGCATATATGCTGTCCACTTAACTGTGTACACAGTACCTAGCTGGTGGTGCCAACACAGACTGTACTATTAGACAAAGAGTAATCCTCTGTGTTTGAGAACGCCTTTAAAGGAATCACTGGCCAGCCAGTTATCTGGATTTCTAGGTCTGACTGCCACACGTTTCCCATCCCTCGAGTGGACGGGTCTGTACCGTAACCGAGAGCCCTCCAAAGTTTAACTCGCAAGATGAACCAGAAAGTCATGTAATCATCATAATCAAGCTCAGAATTATCCCATAGTATCCTTTCGTCAACATAATTAGTGGCCCCGTCTTCTGATGATTCGTCGCTCGTGTTGTCATCTCCCATATGTTGAGAGTAAATGTCCGCTGGGCATGGTATGTGCTCAAGCTTCGGAAATATTCTGCGCCACTCTTTCGAAATCTCCAGGATCTTTCCTTGTCGAATCAAGGTTCTTGGCGTCTCGAACAATACTCTCCTGCAATGCATAGATTTCAAGTTTTGGAACGAATATGATGCGTCTTTCAAGGATGGCAGTGATAAGTAGAGTCGACACTGAGGCAGCTCCAAAATTGTCAGTTGCGGGCAGTAATATGCCATGTTTCCAAGCAATCCGCTGTCAATTCGAAATTTCAAGCCGAGGGCAAGGACTTCGACCTGGGGAAGGGCACAGATAAGGTCAAAGAAGAAATCCTCCACTAGGCCCGATTCTTCTCGGAAGGTCAAGCCCCACACGCTGAGTTTTTGCAACTTCTGACAACCGCGTGCAATATCAAGGAGCGCTTCCACGTTGTCAAAGCCTACGAAGCGAAGATCAAGACTTCGTAGATTTTGGCATTTCGCAATGTTCGCACAAAGAGCGAAATCGATGCGATTTTTTTCAGGCTCTAGCTTTCGTATGTTTAGGATTTGAAGCTCTTGAAAATTTGATAAATCCGTAAACCATCGACGACAAGGGGTTTCAAGATATAAGGCCTTCAGCTTCGGCCAATTGAGGGCCAACTCATCTCCAGCAGAAGTCAAAAGTTCTGGTCTGGAGTACGGATCATTGGGAAATACCAGTGCCAATGCCTCGAGGTCCTGGTGTTGATTTAGACATGGCAGGAATTCCACGATATCAAATTGTGTAAACCCGTCCTCCTCGTGTGTTTCCTCGATGTGAAACAAATGTAAATCACACTTGCTCAACAATTCAGAGATGGCAGGGATATCTAGATTGCTCTCTGATTTGTATATCGTAAGTGCTCGGAGCTTCGATATTGAATCCTGTTGGGTTAAGCCATGTTTATTTGAGAGGGCAGCCATCCAGAGAAACTCACAGCAAATGCGACAGATGTATTATCGGGAGTTGCCCAAGTGCGGTTTATGTAGGACCCATCAATGGCTAAAAACCTAATGGATGAAGGGAGAAGAAAGTCGGACTTGAGCGACCATTTTTGGTCTAAGATCTCGAAAGGAATGATAAGGCTGGTTAGACCTTTACCCTGAGAATGGAAGAGAGCATTTCTGGATTCGCGATGACCTAACGCGCGAATTTTCTCCAAGCATGCAAGCTTTGAATCAGGCTCCGCAACCTCGTCAAGGGTGGGAGTCTCAGGAGCGAGGAACAGATGTTTCACGAAGCGCATATTTTGAGAAAAGCGATTTCTTGAAGCCACAAAGAGGCAGTTAAGAGACGCAATATCGGGGGTGCGGAACTGCATGTCGCTCAAGGAACCCTTGTAGAGTTTCTTTATAGACGGCCTATTCCAAGTACTGTTCACACAGGCACAATTCAAAAGATCTTGCACCATAGAAACATTGTCAATGACAAGGCCAACTATCTCCGGAAGGAGAAGTGGATTTGATATGTTTGAGCCAGAAATAACAGCCATCATGAGATGGTATAGAAGCAACGGTAGCAGTAAAGCTGTAGGTTCGCTTCAGGCAGAGTGATACAGGCAGAGACATCTGTCGAAGAAGACAAATATTCGGACGCTCAATATGATTCATCAAGATATAGCCAGCCAACCTTTGATATGTTCATTGTAGAGAAATTCTTCGAAGGAATGCTCAAATCCTGGAAATTGGTGGTAGTTTAAACAATCGGATATATTTCATCTGGGCATGTTTGAAAGTTTTAAACAGCGGAAGATAGCCAGGACGCGATTGGAGCACATTGGAGACAATGAGTTAAAGCCATAACAAATTGTATGACAGTTGTGCTAAAATCCAGGCATTTTAGGAAATCGTGTGACACTTGCGTACTGCAAGAGCACTGTTGTGAGAGAAATGGACGGTAGTATAACTTTTTCAAGTCGCAGGGCTGACTTGGTCGCACTCTAAATTCAATGAATGAATGATTGCAATTGGCCTTGGACCTTCTGCTCGATGAGAACACAGTGGCCCGCAATGGGACTGTGGAGTAGATTGAATAGCCCGTCATACAGTTGAACTACATCTCAGTCCAATATTGCGCATTTTTAATCTAGCGTCTGATCCCATCCTTTCAACCAATTATTATTCCATCTCTCTCTTTATCTCCACAAACGATTCCGAATTTCACTTTTGCAAATTCATAATCTCGCAACTTTCAAGTCCGGAGAAGTCTACGCCGTTATCAGCGGTGCTGTGTTCTGCCCCGCCAGCAAGCGAAGAACTGCCAGCATGCTCAATCGTGTTCCGATCATACACGAAGCCGTGCCCATTGACCTTGCCCAGGTTATTTAAGTATTGCAGGCGTGCTAAAAGTTGCGCCGATCTCCAATAGCAATGTGGTTCTCAACCACCAATAACTCCTTTTCGGCATCGAAATTGACACGGCAATGACCCCGCAGTTTGAGAATATCAATCAACATTTGCCATGAAGGCTGTTGATTAGCGGCGTCAAACATTCCCGCAACTACCCTTTCGCCTTAACTTTTGCACGTATTTTGCCCTCTCTGTTTTGATGGATCTGTTATATCTACATTGTTTCACCCCTCCGCTAATACAGCAAATTGATGCTCCTAATGGCGTACTGTACGTGTTTGCACGTTTCATGTTTGCACGTTTCATGTTTGCACGTTTCATATTTGCACATCCGGCGAGCGAATTCACTAAGGACCCAGAGTCTTGGAATCGTTAAAATCAATTCACTCAAATTGCGCACCTTTTTGCATACCCAAATAGTCAAACCGATGAAAAGCCGAAGTAATGAATCTCCAGATTGACGCTACCAGTAAACCATGCTGATTAACCATTTCAACTTGCTACTCACAATTTTGGAAATGAGACTGCCCGATTGGCTAACACATTATGAACACGTTTTCGCTTAATTTATAGACCCGCTCTGTTTTGACCAACTTTTGAACATTTTATTATTTTGGCAGCGATTTGTTAGCTTCCATTTTGTGCACTCTTTGCTTTATCTTTTGCACCTATTTTGCACTTTGTCCTAATCTCTGATCACTCTCGTCCCCCTATCCTCTTTCCTCCAACTGCTCGTCCCTGCATTGATCACCAAAATCCCGGGCTTCCTGATTGGACATCCATAGGGAGCAATGCAAACACTTTAAATCTCACACTTCTTTTGAACTCGACCCCAATGGTCCCAGCGCAACACAGTCACAGTACAGCAGGAAACGCGGCTGAATTAATACATGGTAGGATAGCTGGTGTAGCATCGTGAAATCTCAATTCTGGAAGGACTTAAGTGGCTCGAGGTTTTTCGAATCCGTATAAAAATTGATGGTCAGGAACTCTTCGGTATGGCCTATGCGCAGTTTTTGATAGGATGCTGGGATTGGGGTTGAGACAGGCCAGTTTCCAAGGGCCCTTAGTACAGTTCGAAGTTTGAACCTCTCTCATCGATACTGAGAAAGGCAGGTGTCTAGGATTTAGCATTGATAGAATGATGCATGATCAAAGAGTGCAACTCTGGCTGTTGAGCAACTTTGGGAGAGTGTGTTGCCTTGGGGACCATGAAAGAAGCGATAGCACCTCTGAGAGATTTCCAATATGCGAATGAAGATGTGAAATTCGGTGGGTCGCTCGCTTCATTTGCACTCTTCAAACTAACTGAATTCCAAGAAGCTCTTTCCAGCTAATCTTGTAATTATTCCCACATTCGAAGATCGTCGATATGGACCGAGAGCATTGTGTTGTGCAGGATAAGCCTGGGTAGTCTCAAGAAGGTAGATTCAGTTCAGTCACCTCAAACCCTCGTGTCGTTTGTTGATTTATAGTATTTTCAATAGAGATGATGAAATGAAATTTTGCGGAATCATTCAAATGACCCTCTTCTGATGAATTTCTTAATCATAGCTGTGGAATTATAGACACTAACACATAGAGCATAAGAGCAATACAATAAGCCTTGCGCCATCAGAATCACTTCGTATGTTCGTAACCATGGACTGAGCTTTCTGGGAAGCTCTATCGATATCCCAAGACTTGAGCATCGTAGCGAATTGATGACAAGCCTTTATGGCGATTATAGTAAGATTATCAGCCTAAAATGAAAACATTTAGGTACTTCTGAATCCCAAAAACATGTCTGCCACATGTTGATGCCTGCAGTTCAGTTCACATGGTCTTTATTGCAACACCTTCCTGGACATTGCTGGTGTAAATCTTGGCAAAGCATTAAATTGGAGGCGGTTTCTTCGCAAAGTCTGCTCTTGGTGGCATCTTTGCTGATGTCAGGTAAATTTTTCTCCATGAGAGACTGGCCCGCCATCTGGGAGGATTAGCAAGAACCTTCGACTTTCAATTGCCTGTCCAGGAAGCCGGGAGCAGATGGGTTGTGGCTGCAGAACAATTAAGGTTGCCGCAGTACGCAGCGCTTTCATTGTATAAGAGCGGAATCGGCCCCGTAACCGAGAACAAGGTGAAGCTGGCTTTGCATCGACCTTTATTTCACAACGCCGTCAAGTTCCGCTGGGCCAATTACAACCCCGACTTCAACATGACGACACCTGCAGAGCAGAAAAATACAATGACGAGTATTTCAGATCTAGAGAATCTTGGAAAGGAGCGTCCGCACTCTTTCTCAGGGCTCTGGCCTGAGTTAGCTTTTTGTTTTTCGATAGTGATGTCCCAAATCCTGGCAGTGAGTCGATACACCGTAACCCAAAGTCGAACCTCTAACGTGCCGCTTTTACAGGAATTCTACATATCAGGGTCCAGCGTTCTTCTCCCAACTCTCGTAGAAGAACTGGATATACCTGCAGCCTCAACAATATGGCCCACCACCGCCCTCTCTCTTGCCATCACTTCAACACTTCTCATATTCGGCCGCTTAATCGATATGTACGGTGGCTATATCATCTACAACGCAGGCGCCATCTGGCTAATTTTTTCCTCGATCCTCTGCGGTGTGTCGCAGACATGGCTGATGTTGGTTGTCTGTCGAGCCCTGCAAGGGTTAGCTCTTGGAGCCCTGCTCCCATCTGGCATCATGATTCTGGGAAGTACATACCGCCCGGGGCCTCGGAAGAACCTAGTGTTCAGCATTTACGGCGCATGTGCCGCGTTGGGTTTCTTCGCTGGGTTTTTCGTCTCTGGGATATGTGGTCAGTACTTAAGTTGGAGATGGTATTTCTTCATTGGTGCGATTTTATCGGCGATGATGACGGCTTCGTCACTTTTTTATATCAATTGTGATTATGCCAATAAACGAGAGCTTGGCATACGGATGGATTGGTCTGGATTCTGCTTGTCCATCTCAGGAGCGACGCTCTTCGTCTTCGCTATTGCGGATAGCTCGTACGCGCCACAGGGTTGGAGAACTCCGTATATTCCGGTACTTTTTACGATTGGTGCCACACTGCTGGGCGTTATGACATATCTTGAAGTGTGGGTAGTTAATAACCCTTTGCTTCCTGGTGACATTTTCCGACTCAAGTTTATGACCCCTTTGATATTGGCATTATTGTGTCTTTATGGAAGCCTGGGGATTTTCCTTCTATATGGTGTGTTATAGTAAGTGTGCCTTTTCAATGGCTTACGCAACCAGATTATTGCTAAATCCACACAGCATGTCGGCCTTCATGGGTGCCACCCCTCTCCAACTCGTCGCCTGGACCGTCCCGATGGCAGTTGGCGGCCTTATTGTCTCCCTGACAGGAGCATTCATTCTCCACAAAGTATCAGGTACAGTATTGATGATCATCTCCTGTCTTGGATACATCGGCTCAGGGCTGTTATTTGCTATCATTCCCCTTGGCGGAAACTACTGGCTCTATGTATTCCCAGCGATGATCTGCGGTACCATCGCCGTCGATATCAGTTTTAATCTCGCGAATGTATTCATCACGACTAGCCTACCGAAGGCAAAGCAGGGTCTGGCTGGTGCACTGATTTATTGTACCATGCATATGGGATTCGCTATTATGCTGGGGTTTGCGGATATTGTTGGAACGCAAACGGAATATCTCGGTAAATGGAAGAGTTATAAGGCAGTGTTTGTGCTTCAGACAGGACTTGGTGTTGTTGGTCTTTTGATTATTTTGGGATTCGTGAGGATTCGTCATGCCAAAAGTGAATTGACGGCAGACGAGAAGGAGAAACTAGAGGGAAGTAAATTGCCCTCATGAACATCTTATTAGCTCCAATTCCGCACCACCCATATATCTTCAACTCATTTGCTCCATCGATTGAGCCCACACGTTTGTCCCATATTTAGTCCAGAGTCTCATGCGCACATAGGGTACTATTACCGCCTCAAATCATTTTTTGTGCGTCATCTGAACGGACGTTTCAATACAGAATCAATGTGTCCATGTGGCCTAGACTATCTAGTCCCCGTATCTTCAAACCATAGCGGGCTTCTATAAATCTCAGCAATTCTGAGAGCTACTCAGTCCCTTGACCGAGCGTGATCATTCAACAACAGATCTATCTCCCAATCTCCTAGTGAATGGTATACTAGCTGCCACTTTACATAAACTCTTCTTGTCCCACTGAATAGAGAACATGATTTTCTGTGCCCATTTCACCAGTGAATGAGGCTATAATAGCCCTTACCCCTCGAGATTCGGGTACGTTAATTGGATTGGACAATCTAAAACAGAGGATTGTATACACGATACGAGCCAAAATCGGCTAGCTGAGAGTATGTGTCTCAACGCGTTATTCAAATCCACAAGCTTAATTTACCCAAATAATGTCTGCATTTACCAAGTGCATGGCTTCTGATTCGGGCCAGTGAAGGAAATGATAATTATTCATTCGGGGCCTTGGGAACGTATAAGCTAATTAGCGGGCCAACCAACCATCTTCAGCAGTCAGGTAATGCTCACGACGAGAGTCAGTGGTTCACAATTACCCGGTGTAGCCAGCATTTACAGGTAAAAGAAACTTTTAGAAGGGCGAAAAGGATAGAAGAAGTTCAAGGCTGATATATGAGACTAAGGAATTGGTCTGGAGTTTATACTAGTGCCAAGCCCTTTACACAGAACCACCTAGCGCATTGAGAGCTCATTCATCCTTCCATCCCCCCAACCAACATGGAATTCACCAGCTTCTGTTCTGCATGAGTAGCTTTAAACACATCAAACTTCTCATCATGCCACTGATCCGCCCTCACCCATCGACCCTGACTATCCAAAAATTTTGCGTGGTTTTCTGGGCGGAGGAAGAAAGCGATGCTATACCGATCTGCAATGTTGTCAATTGGGACAACCTGGTGGATACAAGAGAAAAGTTTGTGACCGGAAGCAAAGCGTAACGAGTCTCCGACGTTGACAACAGCGTGTCCCTTTTTGGGCTCCACAAAACCCCAGGTATCAGAGCCTGGTGGAAGAACTTGAAGCCCCCATTGTTCCGAAAAGAGGAGAGTGAGTGATCCGATATCTGTGTGTTTCTGGTGACCGATTTCCTTGCTCGATTTTGGATCACCAGGCAGGTACCGCATCATGGCGAGGGCGGAATTAGATTTGTGCTCGTTGCGGTGAGCATTCTCGAAGCGGGCTTCTCCACTCAGCCCAAAGGCGGTGGAGAGGCATGAGAGTATAGTCTTGGTAATGATGTTGGAGCCGCCGATGAAGTCAGAAAATGTTTGGATGTCACGATCGTTGTGGACGATCGATGGGAGATTTGGGTTTGGCATTCTGATCTCGTCTCTGGACACTTGGAGGATCTCGTAGCCATCCATTGTACCTTCCAGCACGCCGGTATGGTTACCGACTGGCTCGTAGCTTGAAATGGGTCAGCTCCATCTATGCAATATGGCAGTGGAAGGTATTACCCGTGTTCCAGGGACGGGAGGCCGATTTCATTCTTCTCGTCATGGGGCGAGTTGAAAAAACGACGCATGAGAGTAAGCAGTCGCTGGTGGTCCCCCAACATCCGTTTTCCATCAATATCTTCAAGGTCAAGATAGAAGAATCCAGCATCTTGACAACATCGCAGGAGCTTGTTGATCTCAGCTTGCTCTTGTGAAAGAAGCCGGCTGAAGTTCAGTATTTCTAGCTCACAGACGGGTACCTCCTCGCCGTTGTAGGAGATACTTTTTCTAGGGATGGTGGCAATGGTCATGTTGGCTTGGTGCTTTCTGATATAAATTGATAGCGGGCTCCTTTCGTGAGTGATGTTCTAATAGTACCTCTGGGGAGAATCAAGGTTAGCCTTTATACCTAGAGGTGACCATGGAGAAACTGCGTTAACTGGTCCTCCATTCTCGATCCTGATCAAAGCTCACAGCTCATGGCGATTCTCTCCTCCTATACAGTAACAATTCCCGCATGCTCTCGCCCACCAATAACAATTAATTGCACTTATGGAAGGTCTTCTGTTAGAGTTTAACAGATCAAATAGCTCTTTACTTCTTAATTTCTAGTGGAAAAAAAGAGTATTAGCTAGACGTGGTGGGAGATCAAACATACCAATATTTCAAATTCGAAGGTTAGAATCCTCAAATGATTATTTGTGAATTAGAGAATGACTAAAACCAAAACATATTGGGAATTTCGTTAACTTAATTTCATCAAATTTGATTCAGATATGTTGTTTAGCCAGAATTGCTTGATTTACACATTATGTTCTATCTAGCTATTATTTCATATCCAGAAAGTAAAACACGCTTTTTTCAAACGCTTTTACCCTTCACTAGAGGTACAGTAAACGCACTTGTTTGATATACATGTACTGTAAGAGAGAATTGTTCAACTTCTCTCGGAGCCTGTTAATGGTATACAGAAATAGATTTATGTAAGAGCAAAGACTATTGACCCGGTGTATTTCTCATGTGCTTCGGACTCGTTCTTATACAGTATTGGTCTCGTGGTCAAAGTCCAGATAGACAACAAGCTTAACTGGGCCCGGAGGAAGATTGCCACCGATGCCGCCAATGTTCCTATTGGCATAGATATACGCATTTTGGACAAAAGAAGCATTGCTTGTAATAGTTGAGCAAGTACCTGTGATGGTGTCACAGATCTTCATGCCCTGCACTTGTTGCCTTGCATATTGAGGAGCAATAGCCGATACGTCAAATCCTGACCATCCTGAATTTACGCTTGAGCCGAAATCGAATTCTCCCCAGGTTGAAGAGTATCCTCCGTTTGAGTCTACAGGTATATTTAGACCAGGGGAAGCTGCCCATCCACCCTGGGAGTTCTCTTCGAAAGCTAAGTATCGGATCTGCCCATGGTCGATTGAAAACTCCTTGCATGCATTGCCAAACCATCCATCTAACTTCCCATCGGGGCCGATCTTATTCCAGACAACAACCGTCCACTGTCCACTTCTGGGGCCATTAAACTGCACAACATACTGGTGATTTTTTGCGCTAGTAGCAGCAACCTCCATTACATTACTTCCATACGGATTACCAACATTACCTTTGTACGCCACTCCGCTATCAGTGTCTTCAGTCCGCTCGATTACACTCGCGTTATCAGGCCCACCGAAAGAATTAATACGGACATTCATGGGATCTGTACTGCCTAAAATGTTGTCCTGAGGTTTGTCGGTTGTTGAGTGCCGAAAACGATGTAGATGGGGAATAGCATTGGCGCAAATAGTACCGACAAGAAGAAGAAGAAGAACATGGAACGGCATACCGAATTGACTGCAATGGAGTTGTAATAGATCACAACTCGAGTTGAATCTCTGCCAAATCTATTCTTCCAGTGGATCTGATACTACTGTGCAAGGATGTCTTTCGCTAGAGACTCCCTTTCAGCAAATAATATAGAGAATCGTCATTAACTTTATCGATAATTCGCTTTAAAGGACTAATAGGTGGTTAATTTATGCTATCTGCACCCTAAAAATAACGGAACAAGTAGTCAACATGTTTTTGAGTTATCAGGTATAGGGAGGAAATCAGCCGAAAGTGGAGTACGTCTAATTTTGCGGGGGATGTCGCGACGAGCTTTTATTTATATTTCACTTTCAAGCGATGGAACACGACGAAATACCTTATGTTAGCATTATGTTATATTATACTTGTTGTTCTTGCTGGAATTATATCCTCTTAAGTCAACATTTGGGGCGCCGGACTTATGTATTAATGCAACCATATCAAGTTTTCCCTGTCCCATAAGAATTTTCTATGGAACGGTAAATTTCAAAATTTCCCATCCAATTGAAGCCATATTCCTCATTCTATTTCCTTTTGAAGAGGTATGAGTGATTTGGAACGTGTAGGGCGATCATTCAGTTTCTTGGTTTGGATTTTGGTTCTTGCCGCACTTGGGATTCTATTTGGTAGCTGTACAGCTTCTAATTCGCCTTCCCCGTTGTATTTCTTCAAAGTAACTGATATCTACTCTTTCCTACTTGCGACTTTAGACTTCAGACTTCAAGCTAATAAAATGTGCAGTTACATCTTCAATCTAGTAATTCCATCGATAGTTTACAACACGAGGGAGATCACGCAATTCTTCCAATATTTTACGCTGTTGGGCTCCTAGGGTTCTGTCAGGGTCAGAAGGATATCACACGTTTTTCGAACTGCTCAGATCCCAGTTTCCAATTCTCCTTTGATCTTGTGGAAACCATACGGTCCATATCTAATGGAACTCGATATATTCAAGAACCAGATGCTGTTGAACTATATCTAGATCAGCATCAATTTGCTAGATATTCCATTTGGGCATATCTAATTGGTCTCGTCACGACCTTCTTTGCTGCCATGCTTGAACTCTTTCACCCAAGGTTGTCGCGTACAAAATTCTTGCACGTTACTTTCGTCATTGTAGGTTATTTCTACCACAAGCTACAGTACCTTATACTGAATCAATACAAGCTCTCACCGTTATCAATTACCGCGGCCTCGGTGAATTTATCTTTAATTTACTCCTTGACTGATCACGGCGTTCAAACCAATTTGCGATCATTTGTGACAGAGACGAGCTTTGGTTCATTATTTATTGCAGCTTGGTCAGCAACCGGCCTATCTATTGCAGCGTCGGTGGTGTGGTGTATATGTACAAGTTGCTGCTGTATCTGATATTTTGTTGAACATAAGCTTTAGTTGACAATACACTAGTGGCAGGATGGCCTTTTGGAAAGGGTATATACTGTATCAATAGAATAACATGCTGTTTTCTCTGTATAATTCTCCACATAATCGGCTAAGATTTCAACTTTGGTCTTGTAACTTGGCTGTGACTACGAATGAACGACAAGCTGTACGGTACAGTCGCGAGCATTGATCCCGGCTGTGAGACTATAAAA